TACAGATTGATAAATATTCAATGAGTGCTATCTGATATCATTTGTAGAAGTTTAATGTCCCAGTTAAACACACCTAATGCCATAACCGATATTTATATGAAATCTACACTTAGAAGGGCAACATCCTCTAATAACTTTTTTAATGAATTCAAATCCAAGTAATATAAAATATATTAAAAATTGTAGTAGGGAGTGTTTTTTGATAAATTTACCGATAGTTACTGTGGCAGTTTTGGCCCTCAAATAAATTTATAGGCTTACTTTTTAAATTTTTTTCTTCGTTTAATAAAGTGAAAAAGGTGTACTTGTTTGTTATTATTATTATGTCATCGTAAAAATGAGAAATTCTTGAAAACATCAATTGGTTGTTGCGAAAAAAAGCGACAACATATAAAAAGTCACAGGATTTTCACCGAAAAAAATGTCAATCCAGTCGTTCTAAAATACGAATTTGGTGCTGCTGAAAGTAAAATAGGTAGTAGTAGTAGGTGTAGGTCAAAACTACAGTACTAAAAACGTTAAATAAAAAAACTAATGCTTGCGAAATTTACAATTTGTACCGTTTTTATCGCTTTGATAACTATTGATATCATATATCAACCTTGCAAGTAATATTTTTCACAATTGATTTCTCAAACTTGGCATCAGACCTTGCATGGAACACGAGTTGATATCGAGGAAAATAGAACTACCTTGACACAAATAAATACGTTCAACATTTAACTTAAATCGACCGGAATGATGTTACCCTTGTGTTATCATTGATCGTTAAAAGAGGTAACTTATAACTGTAAGGACTTACATACTATAAATACATTCTATTTGTATTAAATCGATGTCGAAATAAATAGATACAAAATAAAGCTAGTAAGTAATAACTTAAAGTCGTAATTTTGTTAAAACTGAAACTTTTCATAAAATCGCATATGTTTGCCTTAAGAATATATACGTATATTTTGTGGTTAAATATGTGGTTATGTACCTATATTTTTTTTGTAAAACAATGTATTCATATAAACGTAATATTTTGTTAGCTTATTTTTATATGTAATTCAATAATTTTTCTATCCTCATCCTTGACCGAGTCACCTTTATGTGACTAAAGTATACGTTTTTACTTTATTTAAATATTCTTAAAAGGTAAATAAACTACAGGGAATCCTATATTTAAAAGAGTCTGCTTTGTAAGACCAAATTAAAGAATTCCCATCTCGACTCGTTCCGGGATGATTGAAGTTTAGAATATTCATGAACCTCTTTTCCTCTTACAATATTATTCACAGTTAACCGTTATAAAGAATATTGCTTTCTCGGGCGCCAGAAAATCAAAATCACTACTTGAAGGTTCATACTCAAGGAAAAGCCCAGGCCGATCAGTCAAAATTTCACTGACGGATAAAATGATTGATTAATAATTACGTAAAATATATTCGAACGTCATTTATTTTTTATTTACCGTAGGACACCCCTATACCTAAATCAAATTTATCAAAATTGCATCATTGATTTCTTATGACCCACGGTTATTAAAACGAATTGCTAAAATTGCATAGGTATTTATTAACTAGTATTACATGCAGTACAATGGATTTTAAAAAATGCTACAGCTTTTTTTACTAGATAGTTACAAATTTTGAAATGAAATGTAATGAAAAACCATTTTTCACTAGGTATATTTAAATATAAAAACTATAATCTGGCCTACTACAAACCAGAACACTCTTCTATTCTCTTTGAAATTTCAGGATTATAATGATGGTTAAGCTACGTTGCCAGATTTGTAATAAAAAGGTGTCTAAAATAAAAAAATATGGGTATTATATGTTTCTTAGTAGGCCACGCTGTATAATTCTGAGAATTATATATTTGTTATCGTGCCTCATGTTTTAAATTATTACTAAACCGTAACATAATCATTTTATTGTTCTTTTACGATGTAAATACATATGTATTATGCATGGGAAAATTTATTCCAGTTTTAAAGTTTATTTTCTGTTAGCCAGATGGTTCGATACAGTTTTAAGTAGAAAAACACTTAAATATGTAATTTCAATCGTGTACAATTTACATTTCGAGTTAATACTAAATTGTTCTAAACAATTTGACCTTGAAATTTAACAATAAAACCAAACTATTACAGTAAATTCTTTTTCTTTGGATAGGTACTTCGTCATTTGTGAAAAACATTAAAAATTAATTAAGTCAGTCTTGTTCCTAAACGATTTGTTAAACTTATGAAACTATTTTTACATCATTTGTTGATTATTATTAATATTAAACCTTTTATATTTATTCTTATAATAGGTGGTAGGGTTCTGGCTTCTGTGAAACGTTTTGTTTGTTATTTTCTGCAGTACCTATATCAAATTCTACAGTAATTTTCAATTATAAAACATACAAAAAATAAATAAATATGTTATAGTAATTCTTTTTTCAGTGTATATAAAAATACATATATTAAAAGATGGATATCTAATGATGAATCTAACCACACTCGCGTGAAACAGAAAAAACTCCAATTTTTCTTAGACGCTGGGTTGGCTTCGAGGGCATTCGAGTTAATAACGAAATCGAAACTGATATAATTTGATTTGAAGTTACTGGGAACTTGATTTGGGTCTGGGCGTGGATCGCTGTTAATAAGAGCTGCGAAGTGCGATTTTATTTAGGAACATTTAACCTGATTAAGCCACTAGAATTCAATATTACTCGAGCGAATAAAAGGAAAGGAAGAAAACAGCCTTAATAGAATCGAAAGTTTTATTGCAAATATTATTTTATTGGCACAAGCAAGTAGGGATGATTAGATTTTTACGAGTATATTCCTACATTGGTTGCCGTTGAAACAGTAACTGAAGAGGTTGCTGGCAAAAAGGTGTAAGTGACAAAATCATTAATCTGAAAAAAATATACAGTATACCAAATAGCCATTCTATATTTGAAATAAAAACATGGGTATAAATAGCCTAATAAATGTTTTCATTAATAAGAATACTTTTAACCTTATTTCGTTATACACTAATTCAAACAATTAAAGGGTCAAAAAAATTTCCGAAATTTTTCCGTGATTTTTGACAGACTGTATTTAGGTGAAAAATTGTCGTATCAGAAAAAATCATGTAGTTCTAAATAGCGCGACAAAAAAATTTTGAAGATTGGATTTTTGTTTTCTTCAATGTCCGGAAGGTTTTTCAAAAAAAAACAAAAAAAATTTCAAAAATTTTTTCGAAAATTTTTCTAATTTTTTTTTTCTTTTTTCATCAATTTAAACGTTATTTACGGTAAAAATATGAGAAAACCTCAAAAAAAATTTTCTATTTCCATTTTAATCATGATTATAAAGTGTTTAAGCTCAAAAAACGTGACCCTTTCATTTTTTTTCAAAAGTTTGACTGCTTGAAACAAAGAAACGGTTCGCTAGATCGAGATGAAACTTCACAGGATTTTTCTGGGTATATCGAACTGTAAAAGTCATGTTTAACATTAGTCATTTCGTGAATATTTCTAATTTAGCCGTCAATTTTCAAAAAAAAAACATTTTTTTTAATATTTTTTCCTGTTCTTCGTGTAGATAAAGAAAAAAAATTTTTTGCCGAAAAGCTGCGGCAACATGTTATAGGAAATTTATTCCACCTTTCGAAATTGTCCTTCAATTCGCTGTACGACCATTTATCGCCGAGATATCGATGATTGAAGACAAAAGGATCCTTTTCCATTAAAAGTCCGACACTTCGATGAAAAATGGTCGTATCGAAATTAAAAAAAAGGAAATTGAAGCTGAATATACAAGCTATCTGGTCCATGCAATGGCTTTGCTGAAAAAAATTTTTCCAAGTCCGTGGACAAAGAAAATTTGCAAAATTTCTTTGTCGTGCTATTTCTTAGAATTGCATGATAACCGTAGCTCCTAAAAAAATTCGACCGAAAGATCTAAAAACTAGAATCTTAGAGCTTCAAAATGCTTTTTTTAATTCCCGATACGACCATTTTTCACCTAAATACAGTCTGTCAAAAATGACCGAAAAATTTCGGATATTCTTTTGACCCTTTAATTTTTTGCATTTGTATAAACTATAAAATCATTCTTGTTTGTTTTATCGCTATTTGATATAATAGGTCCTGTAAGATTTAGTTCTTTGGAATAAAAGCTTTCTGTGTATCAATATGTCCATCTCAAGTCATTTTGGAGACGAGATTTGCAAAGATATGTTTAAAGCGTCGTTATTAAATTTCCTTCGATTTTTTAAATATTTCATCATCAATTTGTAGTACAAGTAAATAGCCTATATTAGATATTATTAGTAATATATAAATAACTGATACTGATTTGTTAAAATCAGGTGGTCCAAATTTTCTTTTATCAGGGAAAACCATTCAAAATCCCAAAAAAATATATTTTCTCCCATCATTAAATACGGCTGATTTTTTATAACCTTTGTTACAACAAAGTGTAAACTACAAATGACAACAAGACAACAGTCAGGTATTCCCGTATTGGAAATCAGTCTAAAGTATACCTTTTGTCTCTTTTTTTTTGTCTTTAAGTAACGAAATTTTATACCACACCTGAACAAATTACGTTTATTATGAAAAAAACGTGAATAGGGTTATATGATTACGGTCGTACTAAACACAGCCCAAACTGCGTGGTAAATATGCGCTACTTCCACTGCGTCTTCGACAGCTGCGCTACGGTAACCATGACCACCGCTGTAAACACTTTATAAATGTATAATTGCAAGATATAAAATTTTGCTCATATACCATGTATGGTTTTACTATTATACTATTTTATTCATTATATCAATTAAACCTATTTTTTAAATTAATTTTGGAAGAATTTAATTTATTTTATTATTCCTACTATTTCACTTATTGCGTGGCTCTGTTAATTTGACCTTAACTGGAATAGGTTTTTAAACCTATCGGTATTATAAAATACCATAAAATAAGACGTTATGACTAAAAAAATCACTAAAAACAACTTTCTTCTGTTACAGGGCGTAATGTGCCTGGGTTGCGGAAGGTTGTGGACGGCCCTGCAAGTATTATGGAGTACCCTCTACGTAACATGCGGTGCGGCCCAATTGATGGCCGGCATCTTCTTCACGATATCCGTTCCTGAACTTCATCTCTACAGCATATTATTCGCTGGATCATGGGTAAATATTTCAATACTTCAGTTCGACTTCATACGGCGATCCCTTTAAAAATTCAGGGAGTCACATATTTGAACACCGTTTGATCTCGTACATAACGTATCTCTGTGAGTTTCGTGAAAAGAAAAAAATTGTTTACGTGCGGAAAATATCTTGAAATATATTTGTTTCTTTCGTCATACATTTGTGAAGAGTTCGTGTTATGTGACTCCAAATAATTCATAACCTTTTAAACACAATTTTATAAAAATAAATATTATTTCATATTAGATATAACTGGAATATCAAATTGCAACATTTCTATAAAATCTGTTATCAATTTACACTTACCAATGGTAAGGTTAGAATATTAATCCTTACCTAAACCTTTTTTAAGCCACACTTCATATTTCGCGGTACGTTGTGCAACGATTTCCTTATCAACAAATTATTTCAGCGTATAATAACGAATCGATAAGGCGGATATTGCAGTTTCTCACGAACTCACGAATTCAAAATAATAATGTTCCATTCATTGCCAGAGTGCCCTTCGAAAATAGGTCGTGTCGATTAGTATTTATCACGAACAGGTGTAAAGTAGATAATATTATTGGAAGTAGGAATTCTCCAAAAATAAAATGACTGTCGTTAAGATGAATTTATTTTCATGTAAAATGTGTCCCATAAGAATCGCAGGATTTCATATGAGGAAAAAAGATTTTATTAATTAAAAAGTAGACACAGGAAAAGTCGTATGGTGTAAGATCGCACGATCTTGGTAGCCGAGTCACTTCATTGTTACGTGAATCCTTCAAATGTAGTCCACATGTCGTCCAAATCCATGCTATCCAAAAGAGGTCACAAAAGTTCAAACTCTCGATATCGTTCTCCATTGATAGTCCAGCGTTTCCAGCCTCATTTTCAAAAAAATACGGACCAGTTACCCCACCAGCGTAATATCCACTGCGGTCGTTCTTGAATGATCCCAGGATTGTTTCTGCCTCAAAATCAAAATTTTTGCTTGTTCATATACCCACTAAAATGGAATTGACATTCCTTCTACCGAAAATTACACGTAATTTGCCCACAGTCTCAGCTACACACTCTCCGTACTGGTAAGGAATTTTCACAATCTCACGTTTTATATATTTCCTCGACGACCCTCGTAGTAATACGTGCCAAAAGTTATTAAATACGCTAAAACAGTATTACTACTCATTTTTATTTTCGCGAAAATACTTTTCCAGGAATAGCTCTTGTAGATCAGCTAGAGTTTTTAACACTTCTTCACGCCTGCTACATTTTTTAATTATTATTTCAGCATGTCAAGCTTCCCTACTTACTGCGAAAATTAATGACAAAGTTTTGCTTCATTTTACTGAAAACCAGAGCTGATATTAACTTTACTAGAAAGTGCATCCCTGTTCTTAAAATATAAAAGTGATTTATTTGAATGCGACGAAATTAAAATATTGTAAGACGTTAATACAATGTCAAAAGCTTGCGATTCAAAATGTCATCCTTGTTTTTCTAAAAGTTTGACTGCTATACGAGTATTTTTGGTGTTAAGAGGGCTCTATAGCAAATGGGCAACCAGCAATACATTTTTATAGATTTTAATACACAGTTTTTGAACAAGCGACATGGTAAATTACAAATTTCTTTACATCAAATAGCAATTTGAGTTTAAAACTAAGTCCATTCTATAGAAAATCTGCGTTAAAATTAAGAAAAGTATGTTATTTGTGCATTAATTCATATTTAGACAACCTGTGTAATAAAATCTATAAAAATGTATTGCTGGTTGCATATTTGTAATGTAGAAACAAAAAGACCTCTCTAGCATCTATTTTTTTACGCGATTTCCCTGTGTCAGTAAAAATGCAGGAGCTAGTAAAAAACCATTTATATTTAGAAAAAAAAATCCATTGAAGATTAAAGCATTATTTGGTTAAATATAGCACATACAATACGTGTCACTGGTTTAATCTAAACAATCAGTCACCGTAGATCGTCAGGATTATGCGAAGGGACGAATTAACATTAATTATGTCATGTTCTATTCATGAATCCAATCTTCCTGCATTTTTGATGAATCCCTCGCTATTTACAGATTCTATTTGGTCAGTTTGAGATGATTAATTTAGCTTAACTGGAGATGGTGTCCTAGCTCAGCTTTGCTACGAACTTTCAATTCAATTAACAAGTATACCAACTGTTGGGCACAAGTACAGGGTGATTCACTATATTTTGACCCCCCTTTAACTTTTTTGTTTTTAGAGATATAAAAAAATTCAAACGTACGATTTTTTATGAATTTTTCGAAACTGATAGGAAAATAAATTAACTCCAAACAAGATGGCCGCAGATGTTAACTTTGTTAATTTAAATGGAACACCCTGTATATTCATATTGGTCCATCTCTAACAGTAAACGATGTACTATTAAAAATAGACAAGGTTTTTTATTAATAAAATAAGATATCTTGTAATAATTGTTAGACCTCTTTCAGGTTCTTGTAAGGATCTTCTCCATACTCTATTTTAATTCTTAATAATATTTAAATTTTCTACTTGTGTATTTTATTTTAATTAAATAATAATACAAACTGTCAAACAATAACAATGTTGTCCTGATATTACCTGTCACTATCACGGCCTACCATATAACATTGTCCATGAGTAATTAGGCCTCTCACAGCATAATTAGTGGGATTTAGTTAAAATACCAATATGCATTTTGGACCATATCAATGTCAGATATATCTAAATATATTACAACTAAATCTGTAAATCCTTATGTAATTCAAAATATGGTGATTCACCCTGTACGTAAAATTATGGTGTTATATGAAAAAAAAAACTTACTAAAATAAGGAAACAGATTGAAACAGAATGTGAAAAACACTATTTTTCAGTTTTATATAAAAAATAATAATTGAAGATACACTACTCCGTACGATATTTGTTGAGGTAGAATTCCAATAAAGGAATAAGCCCATAAAGTTCTGTGATCGGAACTACTGTAACAATTTACCTTAAAATTTTGATTTGAAAAAAATAGTCTTAAAATAATTATACACATTAAACTTTCTTCTTTTATTTTTTACCTCGATTATGCACAGCAAGCTGCTACGGTGTACACCATGCCGCTAATGTCCGTACTTCGGGTGTCGAATGCAGTTAATTCCAAGAAAGTGACGCAGGGGACTTCTTGGAATTCTATCTCAACAAATATCGTACGGACTATATCCGAAATGAAAATTTTGCAAATAATGACTTACGCGTTATAATTATGATGTTAATTTGATACAAGCAATTAAATTCTGAATTAATATGAACATACTCATAGACATAAAAGAGAAAACAACTAATACAGTTTGTTCATGAAAACTTCTAGGGTAATGAAATATAATTCGAGATATATTATGACAAGCTGAGCATATTTAATTTATTAATTTATGCCGCTGTATTTCGAAAACCGTTCTGCTACATATTCATGTTAGAACTGAGACTTAGTTAGTCTAACACGAAGAACAAACACAAAGAGTGTGGTAGAAGTTGCATCAAATAGAGCTGCCTTGGAATTTAAATTGCTTAATAAAATTTAAATTCGCTACCGGATGGAAATGAAGCATACGTCGCGTCGTAGAAATAACGTTTGACCACCTTCAAAATGATGCTCGATTGTTTTACGTACAAAGACTTCCTTGTTTGCATTCTAAGTGAAATTTAATATGGAAATAATTTGAAAATAGGTTATATTTAAGTTAATATATAGATAGGTAATGGTAGTGTAGCGGTACGTTACAATTACATTTAGTACCTGTCCCAGTAAATATATTTTGCTTTCTGGGAATTTACGAGCCATATAAATTATACTTTGAATTATCCGAGATTATCCCAAATAAATGCAGCAAATGAGATTAGAATAAGTAGGTTGTAAACATAAATTAGTTGTTGTTTATTAGGGTACATAAGCACAAACCGAGTAGGTAATGGCCCGGATAAGTGTTAATTAGGATAGGGTAATAAATATTTTCAATCAATACAAGCAAAAATTTGATGACCCGCATAATTAAAATCCACCCTCAGCCGGGCCACTGATTGTGGCTATTATTACGGAATTCGCAAGGCGTGTAATGGAATTAAAGAGTAAAATAGAAACATTCGCCGAACAAAATGTTTCCAAATTAATACAGTAGCTGTAGATTTTCCGGACGGGTCGAGTCGATGCAAATACGCAGCGGCGTTTTGTAAAAATAATTTAGGCGTCACGCCGACCGGAAAACGGGGAAAGGATTAGAAAGGCCGTGAATAAATTTCCTTATAAACGGAGATTTGTACATTTAATTATCATTTTAATTTCGCCCGCTTAATTTGGTTTCCACTGCGACCCCAGGAGCCGTTCCAGAAGGGTTTTGTCGGCTGGAATCGAGTTTAAGGGTTAAATGTTATTTTTGTTTTAGTTTTCGTGAAACAATACAACCATTAGTTCCCGCATTTCCCAGAAATCCAATTTATTTAATAAAACTTGGATTATTTCTTTCGAAAGTCTCGAATTCAAAATTACAACAAAGCACATGGCGTTGCCTGTTACACAGGGTGACCAAAAACTGAGGGTTGACCGCCATTACAAAAGAACGGAAAGAGCAAATAAAGAATGAACTTAAAATTGAATCTTATGGTTAGGTAACTCCCTTAAGGCTGACCAACCTTACGACTAATCTGCAGTATATTCTATTCGGTGCAGTATTGCTGCTGTTATTTAACATTACACAGTCATTAAAAGAGCTGGTAATATATGATACGCCCCTGGTTTTTACGTCATGTACGGTTCATCGACGGATCTTACTGATCACTCAAACTGAACTCTTCAAATGAAAATGTCAGCTTAAAAAAATACAATATTGTTTCAGGGGCCCTAGCCTTACGGAAATTATATAAATGAGCTGATTCCTACACTACAATTTCATTTGACGCCATTTGAAAATTAAAGGAATTATATACGGGGTGTTTGAAAATTATACCGCATCCTCTCGAGAACGTATTTCTCCCATGGAAATAAAACCCACGGTTTATATGTATAAACAAGTGTCCGCAAATGATATTAAGATAAGGGGCGTCAAAAATTAAAAAAAGGTTCCTCGGAACTCATTTCGGTTTTACTTTAGATTCATATTGCCAAATGTTTATTTTTCCACTAAAAACTATTTTTACAATAGCAATAAATGTTCCTTAAGATTCAAAGATTTGGTGACCTTTGAATGTGCTTTATCGAAAAAATTGTCAACCATTTTTTTGATCTTTTTTTTTTAATGAATTTAATAATTTACTTTTATATAACCCGTGGTAGAAAGGCGAAGATTAGGTATATCTTCCCTTAAAAGGCAATTTTCATTTAAAAAAAAAACCAATTGACAATAATTGCCAAGCAATTAAGTAATTATTATATAAGAAACCTATCCAGCAGCTAATCTAGGTTAAAGGTAAATTACACTAATTACCTTACGTAGAACTAACAACCAGTTTCATGTTATTATTTTCAATTTATATAATTTGTTACTCGACTAATTAGAAAACATTCTTAGTTTATTTTAAAATAGTTCAACCAAATTTTGATCATAACCATTAAATAAATAGATAACTTTATAGACCAACCTATAGAGATTTTTTGGCATACTTAAATATTACAGCAAATTTCATATATTACCGTTTACTAGTAAATGAAAACCCAAGTGATTTCCCCAACAAAGTCGTGAACAATTTTTTTAAATAATAAAAACTGAAAAAAAAATAACATTTTTTTGTTTTTTTTTATATATCTCGAAAAATATTGTCTTACTCTCAATAGGACTTATAGAAAATTAACAAAACTATAAAATGGTTTTTTGTGCGACCAGATCGGTTCAGTTTTTACAGAAAAAATCCGGAAAAACCTAAAATTTTTCAAAAATTCATAACTCAAATTTGAAGCTGGAAAAACAATCTTGCGGAAAGTGACAGATGATAATATGTAATTTAATCGTGCGCAAGATGGTTTCTGTTCGATGCATAGTTTTTGCACAATTGCTTTATAAACAAATTAGGGTCTTTTTTGCACAGCGTGGCAATTTATCAAAAATGATCCGTTTTAATATATCACATAGTTGGGGGAAGTTGACTTTGGCAACGGAAGCTCTACATTGAAATATACCTTGATTTAAATTAAACGAAGTATTTAGTGTTGTTTTATTCGTATAAAAAAATATAAAGACCAAGCTGTAGTCCTTGTCTTTTAATGTATATAATTACAAAAACTACAAAATTCTATAAATATGTCCACAAAATTCTGAAGGTAATAAAAATCTTAAAGATATAAACACAGGCTCCCAATTTTTAACTGTTTATTTCAACCGAAACTACAATATCCCACTTAGTCTCATTTTAAACAGTTTACCAGGTCAACCACTGCAGTATTCAAATGGCACAGTCCTTTATTTGTCCTGGAACATAATACCGTTCAGGATAAAATATTTACCAGTACATACGTTATTTCATAAATGCTTTATCCTTAGAGATTTATTTGATATCCTTGAGGATTCATCGAGGCTATTCTTGTATTTTTCTTACCCTACACTTCAACACGTCGGACAACCCATCCAATTTGTCTTTGTACCTTCCAAGCGGCTGTCTTTATTTTTTTTTTCGGAGTACATGTTTTACTATTAATTAATTTGTTCTTCTTTTTTGATGACACATGTATTTATTTAGGAATACCATGAAGTATTCGTATTTAAATCTTGTTTACATTTTTATTTATTCTCTAGGAATTTGTAAATAAATACAACACATTGAATTGCATCTTGAAAGATGTTTAAGATATAGTTTCATAAGAACTTTTCTTAAAATAATCCAAGGAACCACATTCTGATATATTTTTACGTATTTAAATCATACCCAGTATAGAAATTATTTCCTATGCCAATAACCATATTCCCAAAACAAAAACTAGTGCCTTCTACATAATAAGTTTCCTCCCAAACAAGATAGCAAATACCATTGATATTTCCTACACGCGTCCTCATTTGTCCCTGTCTTTCCGCATATTGTAAAAACGGCTGAAACCAGAATTTATTACATGAAATATTAAAATATGTGTACAAGCTTGAAGCGCGGATACCGTGGCATCTTTATTGCAAAAGAATACCAGATAATACGAGTCTATGACGTGAATAATTCAATAGTCAGCGCACGATTCCTGAGAAAGTCATTTTTATGTAGGATTATCACGGATAAAGTATTACATCTTTATATGTATGTAATTATATTTGTAGTTTATTGCGTCATTATTACCAATGTTATGTGAACATGGAATATGCTGAAGCGGCATTAAACGGAACAAAAAATTATATACAGGATGATTTCTTAGTTCATGCCACTTCAGCAACAAATTCTCTTCGCTTTGCGTGGTCAGTAGGCTTCAGTTTTTGAGTCGATTGAACTTGACCTGCTGCTCAAATTATTTTATCAATCTGTCTGGGAAGCCTCCAAGATATTTAAGGTTTTGTAGAACAGAACAACATAATTTAGGGATTGCAAGGTATGTCTTTTAAGATTAGAAAAAAATGTAAAAATAATGTCTGCATAACATCTCTAATCTGTTAGATAAGTAACTTCCCTTGTACACAAGAAATAGATGAATCACAAAAACCAGTCCTGTCAAACAATTCAATTATACAATAACTATATACGATTGTCTACTAAATACTGAATTTTCATATAGTTTTCCACATAAACAAATTGGTTTTTAGGTTAAAATGAATCTATTTAGTACGGGAAGTAATAATTTGATTCCTACCGTTCAAAAGTTATATTTTTCTTAAGTAACAAAACTTGGTAACATTTTGTATTGGAAACTTCGTAAGCGATTCACAAACATTTTATTTTTGGGGTCTACAAGTCTACAATTATTAAATAATAATTATTGTGTATAAAATTATAAATTTAAAACTTTTGCCTTTGAGTAACATGGGGCATTTTGTCTTATAAAGGATAAAATATTAAATATGTAGTATTTAGACGTTTAGAATATACAGGGTGCTCCCTAATTTTAACGACGAATATTTAGGAATCCATAATGGTAGATAGTAAAAATAATAGCATTTTACTTTATAAACTTGTTTTTAAAACCCCACAAGACGTTGATGTTTTCAAAAAAGAAGAGGTATCTAAATATGTTCCAATAAACTGAAATTATTTCGATTAAATAGTGAAAAGTTATTAGAATATGAAATTCTGGGCTAAATGAAATTTTATAACACGTGAATCAACTGATTCCAATGTCAAGCAACCAGCAATACAAGTATATATAAACATGGTTGCTACAATATAAATATGTGACTAGCAGCTCACTGCTTTCGCTACTTATGCAAATGAAAAAACTACTTTAAATTTCGTTTTTGACTGCATTATTTTATAATTGGGTCTAGGTATTTCACCTTCGATTATTAGATAAACTGCTGCGGACATTTTTACAACACATTTTGTCACGGTATTATTCCAGCGCCAAAAATATTTGTCTTTCTCTAGCAGAATACATGTGTACGCGGTGCTCAAAAATATAGAGCAAATTTTGAGTTCAAAATAGAACTACTGATAAAGAGGTCCCTAATTCCTTCGGTAAAATAAGCAAAACAATATAAATTCTTGTTTCCGCAAGCATGCTGCTTCATTTTTTACATAAACCCCCAGGTTCAGTACATGAAAGAGAAATCTCAATTATATCATATACAGACTGTTTTAATTGAGGCCGCAAGCTAAAGGAAATTGTAGTTCTGCTTATACAAAAATGTCCAATCAGTTCCTGTACACACAGGTGTAAAACAAATTTCTCAAGGGAATTGTTAAGAGTAAATAATTATTACTTATTATTATTAACTTGTGGTGTGTTTTATTTTATTGTGCAACGGCTTTTATATTAAGTAGGAGTAATGTAAGTTATATGGGAATGTGTTTAATATTAATTTGAATGGGTACTTTAAGTCGTCACATAATAATTAATTTTTAGAAATGAAAAATAAATTACAGAGAGCCATATTTAATATTTCTTAATTTTTTTACTGATTTGAAACTAGAAAATTTGAACAAGTAGTTTCTTGCGCAACTTTTCTGTCGCCAATATGGTCACTTAAAAATGTTTTAGAAAGCTTAATTTATTTGAGATAAATATGATCTTGTAGGAATGGTTAGTGCTATCCCTTGTAGACCAGGGCGGATATAGGTATTTTTTTAAATTTTTTAAACATTTTTGCAATTTTGAAAATGTTCCGGACCTCGCCTAGATCTAGGGATTTACACTTTTATTATGTGAGTTGTACTGAAGGTATTCCAGCAAAAATTAGCTTGCCCCCTCTTACATCCAAGAAGTGGAATATTTCGACAGATCCGCACCTGGTCTCTTGGACCAAACGGAAAGATCAAGAAATTATCTCGAGCATCAAACATTTTTCGACTCGCGTTTATTTGAACTTATTTCCTGATTCCATTGTATTTTTCTAAACTTTGTTGTATGCACTGCGAGGCACCCAATAAAGGACCTTTTCTTTTCAGAATATTATAATCGGCATAGGTGGAGGGATGGTAGCCTGCATCAGCGCCCTCTCTTCTAAACGACAAGAAATTTTGCTCTACTTGGCCATCTCGATTTTGGCTGTCAACTCCGTGGACATTATTCTCACTGAATACTGGTTCTACGTAGCTGACATGCCGAAAATACTCAAAAACTACAACAACCACATGCTCATCGAATACGGTAAGTAGGCATAAAATGAATTGCGTACATAAATCCCTGTAATTACAAATAGAAAATAAATTGGCGTCTAAAAATTGTGAAACCGTTGATCTTTGGCGTATTGAAATTCTGATACAGTTTTGTAATCCCAAGAAAGAATTACTGGTTCTGTTACTTCATATCCGAAACATTTTGTATTTTTCACACGGATTATTGAACTTTGCATTAAGATATCCAAAACCGCCATTCTAAAAACCTGTATTTGTGATGATGCTGATGCTATACCTTGAATATATCTAAATATAATGTATTACACATGCAAGATTATCTACCGCTTTGGTATTTTGAAAGAGTTATCTTCTTTCCTCGTACTGATAGAAGAATAAATAAAAGTATCGATGACGCGAACTTAACAAGTGAATTCAAAAGTGTATAAATTGGGAGAAGTGTATTTGCTTGTAAATATTAAATGAAATATAATGTCATCAATTATCAAATGTTTTGTTTAAAATTTAATAATGGCCATAAAGTTGAGGAAATTGAGGTCCAAAACATCTCGAAAGAAAAATGTAATTTGTAAAAATTTTGAAGCTTGAAAATAAGACAAAAGAAATGACACTATTTACACAAATAACAAACCTCGATGTTTTATATCTCCAACTATTGTTTTCAAAATTTCTTCTCACTTTTACTTTCCGTTGTAAATAAAAGAAAAAAAATAATTTCGTGCGAAGCAGTATGTTTACATACAAAAATTTTAAAACGAACCAATTCTCATGTTCTACATATTTGTCGATAGAGTTAACCGTGCAAAAACTGTGTGAAAAAGGAGGCCATGGCGATTTAAATGAAGGTAAATTATCTGAACTGACTATAAATTCAGCAAGACCATCACTTCGCGCTATGCACTACAATAATTACATGTTTCTCTAACAAAAGTTTTCCCAGTTGAACTCTGAATGCGAACACCACACCGTGCTAAAAGTAAATATGAAATATGTGCATATAATTGAATCCTGGCAACGCGAATTTGCGCGAAAGTTTAACATGTCGTACCGCCGACATCCTCGTCCTTGAAACGTTTATTTCATTAATATCTTAGCATCTCATTAGGGATCTGTTGGACGGGCAACAGCGGTCAGAAGTAAATAATATTTTTGCGCAACAACCAGGAGTAATTATGAAAAGGTTAGAGAATGGATAATTATCGATCTTCGAGAAGTGTGGGTATAATAGATTCTTTGACGAAAATGATTTTATAGATACGTGTCCACGCGGAAGTTGGTTTGTTATTGTTAAGAGCTGCATCACAAAGAGCGTGTGGTATGTTCTATAAATAGAAAAAAATTGTTTTTACCGAACAAGGAAGTCGCTAGAGTAAGGAAATATAAGTTTTTTTACTTAAAATTGCAAATCTTTTATCTTATTGAAAAATATATTAAGAGCTTGCTCCGAATTAGCAACCATTTGATTATTGCGTGCCCTGCACTATTCAAAGAATGTCACACTTAAAAAAAATACGTAAATCTGAAATGCAAATAACAAGGAGAAGAAGCACGATCGTCCTAGAAACCCACAAACTCGTTAAAACATTTTATGAATATAAATGTCTTCTTTTCCGCTGCCGCAAATCGCGTTTTCTAAAATTTCTAACAACCAGAAGCCGCAAAAGTAGTCAAAAAGCATTAGACGTTGAAGATTTACAGAAAAAGTAATTGCTGGGTCTTTGATTCACTTTTACTTCGATTTCCGATGGGCAAACGTAAAAATACCTAAAGCATGTGTCCCTACCGAGTATGAATGTTCAAGACAGACTTTTGGTGGATGGAGCATATCAGTTTAACATCAGACAAAATTTTCATTAAAAGAAAAATATTTGTATACAAAATGCTAAAGTATACTAATACTTTTACATGCATGTACATTTACATTTCTATGAATACTTGTACCTGTAAATTGGATTTCAGAGGAATAAAATTTGTATCTACCGCATTGTAAATTAGAAGTGAATGTGGAACTATTTTTTTTGTATTTTATTTAAGAGATATAATAGAGTTTCTTTTTTGACATAACAAAAAATATGTTCATTGTACTCGATTAAATAATAGCTCGCAAATATTTATGTTACTTAACTCGCTGTACTCTAAAGCCAACTTCAGATGATGCGGTTACTTGCCAAACGTAAACAAATGCAGCGTGCTTTGGATGACTTAATGGTCGAGAATACATTGGCCGAAGTACACATATTATTTGTCAATCGTAAACAAATGCCGTAAATGTGTTTACACAAAGACATAATAGCGAAATGTACGCGCCGCAACGACCATGTCAGTAAAATTCATTTCCATAGACTGGAATTCGTAATTTCTTTATATTCTACCCAAATACTTTGCTGGAAATAGAAAACAAATCTTTTCTCGGCGCATAGCAATTGCCTTTTTTACAGTAAATAAAATGGCAGTTATTGAACCTTTCTTAGAAAATTTCAGCTAAAGCATTGTGTGGACCAGATAGCTTATTTATTCAGCTTCAATTTCTTTTTTTTTAATTTCGATACGACCATTTTTCATCGAAATATCGGACTTTTAATGGAAAATGATACTTTTGTGTTCATTCGTCAATATCTCAGCGACAAATGGTCGCACAGAGAATTGAAGGGCAGTTTCGAAAACTAACATGCTGCCGCAACTTTTCGGAAAAAATTTGTTTCGTCTTGCACGAATTTTAAAAAACAGGAAAAAAAGGGTAATTTATATTTTTTTACAAAATTGACGGCTAAATTAGAAATATTTACGAAATAATAATAATAATAATAAAATAATTTACGAATTTACAAAAAAATTTTTGAGGTTTTCTCACATTTTTAACGCAAATAACGTTTAAATTGATGAAAAAAATTATTTTTTTTTCCGAAAAGAAAAAGGATAGTTGACTGCACAAAAATTAATTAGATATTTGTCTCAAAAAACGGAATCTGGGTTGAAATCACGAAATCTGGTTTGGGTCATCAAGTTTAATTTTAGTTTAATTAAAAGTTGATGAACAGAAACATAAGACGGAAAAGCCAAATCATGCTGGAAACAATTGAATTTTGTTTCCAATGTTCGGAAGGTTTTCCAAAAAAAAAAATAATAAATTTCAAAAAATTTTTCGAATTTTTTTTTCCATCAATTTAATTTTAAATTTGCGGTAAAAATGTGAGAAAACCTCAAAAAAATTTTTTTTTTCCGTTTTAATCATTATGAACTGTTTAAGCTCAAAAAACGTGACCCTTTAATTTTTTTTCAAAAGTTTGACTGAAACAAATAAATGGTTCGCTAGATCGAGATGAAACTTCACAGGGTTCTTCTGGTTATATCGAACTGTAAAAGTCATGCTTAACATTAGTCATTTCGTGAATATTTCTAATTTAGCTGTCAATTTTCTAAAAAACCATAAATTATAATTTTTTTCCTGTTTTTTAAAACTAAAAGATGAAAAAAATGTTTTTTTCCGAAAAGTTATGGCATCATGTTATAGAAAATTTATTCCAGTTTTCGAAACTGTCCCTCAATTCTCTGTACGACCATTTGTCGCCGAGATATCGATGATTGAAGACATAAGGATAATTTTCCATTAAAAGTCCGATATTTTGATGAAAAATGGTCGTATCGAAATTTAAAAAAAAGGACATTGAAGCTGAGTAAACAAGCTATCTGGTCCATGCAATGGTTTAGCTGGAAAATTTTTTTCAAAGTCTGTTGATTCAGAAAAAGAAAGTTAAAAATTGCAAATTTTTTTGTCGCGCTAGGTATTTCTAAAATTGCTTGATAACCTTAGCTCCTAAAAATTTTCGACCGAAAAATCTAAAAACTAGAATCTTAAAGTTTCAGTTCAAGTTCATTTATATTTATATTCCCGATACGACCATTTTTCACCAAAATTCTGTCAAAAATTACAGAAAAATTTTGGAAATTCTTTTGAGCCTTTAATTTTTTGCATTAGTGTACATGAATAAAATTGCATTTAACGTGGAAAAATTATTAAGTCTCAACTAGAAGCAAATGCGTATGGACAAGAATTTGTTGAATTCGTACACTAATCTACCAAACCAGTGACGGAAATACTAGGAACCGTCACTAAGAACTAGAATTTCGACGCCATTGATAGTTTTGGTTATATAACTCCAAAAGCAAGCAGTCATCTCTCATAAAAAAAAATATGGGAATGTTTTAGTAGATTGTATACCCGACAAAAAAATCTTATTTTTTTGTAACTCGAAGAGGATTTATTATTTTTTATTTATTCAAGTGTTGTTGGCTTGTTTTAAATATAAAAAATACAGAGAAATGGCTGGTTTTCCGAATAAAATAAAGGATATTTTTCGCTCTGAAACACCAACCGAAATTAAATCCAGTTTCTAAAATAATGAGTTCTTTTTCAATTTGTGCTCATAATTAGATAAGCCCAAGGCTTCAAACCAAATCAAGCACTTTATAAGATATCTAAATAAACGTGACATTTTTTTCATTTCAGCACCGTATATCTCGAAAACGAAGCTTTTCCGAACACATGTTTATAGAAATTTTTTTATTGATTTGTAACATTAAGAGTATTTCATATCCCGTAAAAGAAAATATTTTTAAACGGTCCTTCATTATTTCCAAATTTTGTTAGTGATTTTTTAAAGGCTGTAACTTCGCGAATAATGGTCGTATCAGGAAAAAAAAGAAGCTTCTTGAAGCTTGAAGATTCTAGTTTTCAAATGTTGATATGAAATTTTTTTTTGAGCATTAGTCTCGGTACAATCGAAACAAATAATGCAAGACAAAAATTTTACATTTTTTTCTTTCAAAACGGCTCAAACATTGTGAGATATCGGCTATTGAGTGAACAGTCATATTTTATGTTCCTTAAATTGTTTTGCTGAGTGTAGTTTACAAGAACAGAACGAAATGGAAAGAAAAAATAATAATTTGTAGCCGATTTTATTCCTCGCAAAACGCGTAAACGTCCATATGCCAAGAAACGAACATTTTACTATACTTTCGAAACGTTGAGATGTCAATACTACAACAGACATTTGCCTCAAAGGTCAGTTCTCTTTCTTCAGCGGCCCGTAGCGCGCCACCTTGTTCGCTTATATTACCTGTCCTGTACAATGGCCATTTAAATGTCTAAAATATTTCTAAAGGTCACTGAAAGTGAGAAGACCGGAGTTCTGCGCCCGGTCCAGGTAAAAACGTGATTCACACACTCAGTCCGCCGAGGAAAACGTGCCGGCCGTTCCGCTGCGCGCCGCCCGATGTTCGACTCGATTAGCGCTTGTTAATTTGCGATTTAACAATTTTGTTTTTCTTCCAGCCTGCTTTGTGTCGAGGATAGCGACGGCGATAGTGCTGGTGGTCTCCTTCCTAGACAGTCAGTTGACTTTCTGCTCGATGCAGGCCGTTACCAAGCCGCGGAAGAAAAAGTTGCGCGGCTCCCACGAACAGGTCTCCGATATCGAATACATCATTCCAAGGGTAAGATTTTTTTTCTATCGGCTAATATCGCGTGAGTGTCCCTGTTTTGAAATGTGGAAGGTAGAACAAGCCACTTAGATGTTGGTGTTCGTAGTCTATAGATTTGCGCACTAAAGTAAGCGATCAAAACCGCTGCGAGACCGGTTTCATTTGTTTTGGACGTTGTATCCACGGCCACCGGGGATTATTTATGTAAACTTGTTTAAACGTACCGGGTGTACCCGTGTTAAATCCAACCACGACTTTGAAAAAGTTTCAAACTGCAAAAAGCAACTTAAATAATTGCCTGTGTCTGTTGTATGGACAACTGTGTATTTTTCTATGCTATTATTGTTAAATTCAGCATAATCTTTATTTACCACTGGATAATCTCCATCATCCATAATAAATCGAGAAGACAACATGTTCAACCAGACAAACCTAATAATAAAATACTAGTTTTGAATTGAAAACAAGAAGTTCTACTAGACTCGCCTGTTTCTATTAAAATTCAGCTCCACGCCGTAATTTAATTTCTTTCCATCGAAAATTGGGTAACCAGTTCTCATCCTATTATCCCCCCTGAATATGCAACGCGTGCAAAGAAAAGTACAAGGTTTTCAAGAAAAGTCAACGCTGTCAAACAGTTTCGAGGATTTGACAGCAGTCGCCTCTTACCACCAAGAAGACAAAGCCCCAATTATTGTGCAACTTCTAATCGATGGACAGACCAGCGAAAGAAAGATTCACAGATCTCGTAGTGTTACTATTCGGTGTGCCCGTAAGTGAAAAACTGCGAAACAGTTCGTTTTCAAGACAATTTATATCCTTCATCGCGATTCTTGGGTATTACGATGACATTAAATATTTCTGGGTTATAGGCGTATTAACTCGTATTGTTTACAAACAAGTTTGCACATCATAATTTCGTTTTCCGCTTCAAGTGTTGGCTGTGAAAGTATTCTTCATAAAATTGAATAATTTTGGTGTTTCTACGAAGACTTCTCCACAAACAAATGTCTTAGCAATGTCTGAATTTAATCAGCCCGCTTAAAAAGCTAAAAATAAAATTTGTCTTTCTCTCTTCATCAATTTCTGCCACTTGGGTCTAATTTGACCGACCTTGTATCTCTTAAAATAACCTAGACCCCCATTGTCACCCTGTATACTGAGTTCGCAATTCCAATCAGCGTATTTCTTCAACGTCAAGCAAATAGCTCTAAAAGTAGCAATTTTATTTGAATTATTTGGTGAACATTCATATTAATGTACGTATTTACTATATCAATTTTCATTGGAGTGATAATGAAATAAGTAAATAACTTTATTTGCAATCTAATTAAACACTGGTTTTTTAAAATTTCATGGACATAACAAAAATTTAAGTCCTGTAATAATAATTTACGAAAATTTATTAACTTCACTCACGTACTGCATTTTTCCAATATTTGCCGACTGAAATTTCAGAATGCTAAAGTACTTACGTCAGTCATGACTTTCAAATTCCCGCCATATCTCTGTGTGTGTATTACCTCGACAATGAGGCCCGAGGAAATAAAACTAATATTAGTGATACCGTGCTACACTACCACACATATTTTATCGATACGTTCTTGACACACATTTCGGTAAATTTCCATCCCCGCGTTTGATATCACATTTTCTATCAACGTTTATCCATCTTGTAACTTAAAAATGAAACAATTTTGATCAGATTATGAAGTTAAAAAGGATTTATCGCTGATAAATTCTATGTACGACCTCCACCTTTATTGTAAGAAACAAATACCTACCTACAAAGACAAAGAAATTCGTGCCATTCACTGATATTTAACTGGCGCAAATTTAGTCGGTTTTTATTTTTTACTTTATTTTAAAGAAGGTAGCATGTGCCCATAATTCCTCACTCCACTACTTTCCCTCTGCGCGTCGTAGCCTCAGGATCCAAATGAATTTGGTTTACCTGTAAATAATGTAAATCACTTTTAACAGATCATCAGGCAACTAGCTGCCTATTTGGGCACTTTAAGGGTTGCTTAAGAATTTTCTGTGGTGTTCCAAGGATTGATTTTCAAACTATAGTCTCCTTTTAAATGAAATTAATAAATATCTGAATGTAAGGAGAATTAAATTATTTACAAGCACCATGTTGACGTGTCGTCCCTCTTAAACCACACTCACGTGCTTAGGTTTTCCCATTTATATTTTATGTTTTAATGAAAGCAATGCGTAGCAATATTGGTTTGGAGTGGCAATAAACCAGAAATGTAATCAGCACAATAATTACGTACCTATTAGATTGACGCTGGTCTCAACACTAAAAAAAGATGTGATTCTATTAGTACCTGTTTTGTATGTAAAAAACTAGGATTTCCACGGAAGCTAACCTTGTAAGAAATAAGTATTATTATAAATTAAATACGTATGTTACCACTTTTTCATTATTATTTCATATACAGGGTGTAAGAAGTTTGACTGCCATTACTTCAGCATGAGATCATAAATGAACAAAAGAGTTGTATATTACAGGGGCGTAAGATTAACAGTTTTCAAAATACAGCGAGAGTTAATATTAGGGAGTTTCATCACAACGTGACAACAACGCTTAACCTAACGCTACACAGCTACTTGTCCTACGGAAAAATGTAAATAACTATTATTGTGAAACATATAGTAAATTGTATCGATTTTGTAGTACGAAGATAATGTTGTGCTTAAATTTTAGCTCGAATTTTAGTAATTATGAGTCTCTTAAAACAGGACCTTAACTTTTAATCATATTATGAATTTGAAAAATATCTAATTTAAGTAAAATACCCAAAGATTCACGTCATGCAAATAATCATATGTAATAAAAATAATTTAGGTGCTTACCAGAAATCAAAATTCGCTAATTTTTAAACGCACAAGTACAAAACAAACTACAATATATGCTCAAAATGTCCATCACCATTTTCGATGCACGCACGACACCTTCGATTCAAATTTTCGCGCACTCGCAGGAAAACGCCTCAGGAAAAGGAAATCGTGGTACGCAAAAAACACTCGGACGCGGTCCAATTCCAGATACCAACTGAATTGCGTAATGCTGGACAGCTTAGTACCTCGTGTTATTCGCCGCGCCGTTGTCGCATTGCTCGATATGAATTTTATCGAATTTTAAATTTATTACATCGCTAATTATTTTTTAGAATTAAGCATAAAGAAGTTCAAAAAAGTGACAAACATTGTAGTTTATGGTATTCTATATCTTAATAAATCGAGGTTTTGTACATCAAATTGGAGATTTTGATAATTTTTTTCTCGGAAATGTTTGAGTTTAGGACCCATATCATATATGTTTTTTTTTTTTTGTTTATTTTAATGTATTCTATGGTCTATTAAAATTAAAGCAGTCAAACTTATAACACCATGTATTTATCAATTTTTATCATTTTACTGCAAATACAAGTTTGTTTCCAGTTTTAACCAAACAATTTTTTGCAAATACTACAAGTGGCTATTTACGGAAGCAAATAGAAAATCTAAATAATAAACAATGGTGACTCTTAACTTCCGTACAAGGAAAGGAGGGAAAATTTAGGTGCAAAATATTGAAAAAAAAATGAAATATAAATGAGTGGTTTTATTTTAAGTATTATTGAAATATAGGGAAAACGTATGTATAGTAAATATGGGCTATCCCCACATTCTTTCACTGCTGCGCGACTGTAACCATGACCACCGCTGTAAACACTTTACAGATGTAGAGGTAGATTTAAAATTTCCTTTTTAATGTGTTTCGTAAGGCTAATCTATTTAATTATCAAGACAACATTGTAAACTCAATTTTAGATAAAATTTCTTGGGGGGCGGCGCCTCAGAGCTCCCGCACGAGCCGCCACTGATAGTAATCCATTTTTTTACATAGAAATGCGCGAATTCACCACAAATCTGTGTACTTTCGTCTCCTACAGACAATTTTTGGATGTAACTAATTGCTTGGCTTAAAACTTTGTTGAAAACAAAGTCCACTTCTATGCAGCCAAAGCACAGATATTTTTGTATGATCTGCACATATACAAGCACTCTCCTACTCTCGCGATGTTGCCGGCATTTAGCGCAACGCCCTGTACAAAAAGCGTGCATATTTCACAGCTCCTAAGCATGTGGAACGGCACCTCCGAATGAAACGTTAACGAGCACATTTTCTTTCGGCGTTCCTGGCAGATCTGTGTGAAACTACCTGATATTATTATTATGCAAGCTTTCTTAAGTAATCACGCGTAAAGTGGCACACGGCGCATTGTATCCTAACGTCGATCATTTCATTTTTCTTTTCTCCTTGCAGCCGAAGAGCTCGAAGCCGCACACGCACACCGGAATCAACGCGTACGCGCAAAGTTGGGTTTTCGATGCGGAAAACGCGGGTTGTTCCAACAGCGGCGCCGTGGAAACCTCCTACTTCAAGGTCCTGCAGAATGGCACGCCTAAGAAGCCCAGGAGGAAGTCCAACGGATTCCAGGTTGGACTACAAAATGGAATGGTATGTTACAAAAAAAAGTTACTACTTTTTTCACGTTTCAACTTTACTACCTCAATTTTTTTACTAAAATACCGCCATTTTGCAAATATTTACGCAAAATATAGCAACATTTAGGGGTAACAGTGGCATGTGTTTTCCAGAATACTAATTTGACATTATTATATTTTTTAATCCAATAAATAGTTAAGTTATAATCCATTTCTTGAGCTGTACTTAAAATTCTTGTCTACGCCGTCACTGAGCAGCTCCACACTTGTAGGTATTATCTGTTTTTTTTATACCAAATGTAGGAAATGGTAATAAGATAAAACTACAGTGGAAAATAATTTTGTAAAAACACAAACAAATTCACAAAAGTTATCAGAAGCTTTTAAATTTTTTAATTCTTTGTGTAATCGCCGTATTATTCCGTCTGTTGCAGGTGAAGGAGTCTGGCCACATCATAGACAACCCGGTGGTCCACGTGGAGGAAGCGTCCGACGACAGCACAAGCAACAGTGACAGGAAATTATGCTACATGAAGAGTTTCTCTCGCTCGCAGTCGCCAGTAATACTATCGGCTAGTTCATCCCAAATAAGTCTCAATTTAAACCAGCCCCTGAACCCTCCTATATACGAGTGTCTAGAAAAACTAACGGAACCAGCCATTTACCGCTCCAGACTTAACACTGCTCTAAGCAACAGGGAAGAGGAGGATCAGCATTACCAAGCCCCGCAGACGGTGATCATGCGACGGCTCGAATCGACCAGCCCGCATGCAGAAAAAGTACAGTACGCGTCTTTAATGAAGGAGCTACAAAGAGCTATAGTAAGTAAGAAGGAGCCGCAGAGCGTCACGTCCCCGCAGAGCCACAACAGCGAAAGCGCCACCACGTCGGATAAAACCCAAACGTCGAAGAGCAGTAGTAGGTCGGAAGGCAAGAGTAGCGACGCAGATTTCTCAAAGGAACTAGAAGCAGCTTTACAGTTAATTCAAGATTTAGAGAGTCCGAACACAATCGAGACGCCGTCCGAGACCAAATCGCCTCTGGACGGGCAGTCTAGGCCGCTAGCGGTGTGGAGGAATAGTGACGCTAGCGAAAGCAGCGAAAAGACTCTTAGCGCTGTTGGGTCCCTAGCAGAAATCACCTCACCCTTAACCGAGTGCCAACCAGAATTATATACGTTCAAGCCGTCGTCGAACGGTAAGGGTGCCAGTGTTGTTGTCCACTACCCCGACTCTCAGAGTACATCGGGTTACAGTTCTCCTACCCACGGGCCCACTCCCAACTGGTCCACGACATCCTCTATTAACGGAAGTAACACCGACATCAAACCCACGTCCTACTCAATACACAACACAAAATCCACCACCGTCATATCATTGTATTCCCCAGAGAACCACACCAAAGGTAAATCCATAACCCTAGTCAAAATAACGGGAGATAACGACGTTGTAAATGTAGATTCCGACCCTCCCAAAATCCAAAAAGACATCCCGGAAATCCACAGTTCCACCTTAATATCAGATTACGATAATTCGAAAAGTCCCAATAACTCCTCCACTGATACCAATGTAGGGGATAGGTTATCCCCGATAAAATCCACTTCGCCGCAGCAGACAAGTTGGAAGCTGAACTCGTTGCTCCGTAAGAAAAAGCAACAGTCGCTGCCTAAGCTATGCCCCGAGCTAGAGGGGGCCATAATTAAATCGGAAAGTTTAGCGTATCTGTCTGACATTGAATTGCTCGCTAGGCATCAGCGCAACAAAGAGCTACAAAGGGTAAGAATACAATTGGCTGAAGCTGGTGGAGGGTATTTTATTTCGGGTGCTGATTCTTACTAACAACTTCTGTAGCTTCTTAAAACGAACTTCGATTCTCTCGTATCGAATGGAACATGATTTTAACTCGAAACGTTCACTATTATTTAAATTAAGAGCTGTAAGAAATTCCTTGAGAGGGCTCTATAGCATATAGGCAACCAGCAATACATTTTTATAGATTTTATTACACAGTTTGTCTAAATACGAATTAATGCGTAAATAGCAGACTTTCCTCCATTCTAACGCAGATTTTCTATAAAATGGACTTAGTTTGAAACTTAAATTACTTTTTAGTGTAAAGATATTTGTAATTTACTACACAAATTACAAATCTCTTTACAACCCAAAGTAATTTGAGTTTCAAACCAAGTCCATTTTATAGAAAATATGCGTTAGAATGGAGGAAAGTCTATTATTTGTGCATTAATTCACATTTAGACAAACTATGTAATAAAATCTATAAAAATGTATTGCTGGTTGCCTATTTGCTATAGAGCCCTCTTAAAACGTATTATTGGGGTGTCGAATAAGTTCTCGCTGTATTTTCGTGAAAATTAATGCTTTATTTTAAAAAAATAATAAAAGACGTGTCACTGAAAGTATTGTCCATCGCTAGCCGTTACTTTTTCCCATTTCTGACAGCATTTTATTTTAACATCGGAAAAGCGACACGTCGTTTGAGGCTACCAAGAGTCAACCCATTTTTTTAGTGTCTTCATAATGGAAATGCCATGTGACTTCCCATTTAAACATTTCCGAGTAGGTTTTCACGGGTTTTGCAACATGTGGCCGAGTGGTGTCATGCTGCAAAATCACTTTGTCGTGACTCTGCTTGTATAACGGCCGTTTTTCCTTCAATGCCCAGCTCAAATGCATCAGTTGTAGTTGATGGCGATCTCCAGTGATGGTTTTATTCGGTTTGAGCAGATCGTAATAAACTGCACGAGCTGAACCCATCAAATACGGAGCAGAAGATGGGAACCATGGATTTTCGGCTTTGCCGATGATGTTGACTCATGTCGGGCTTGTCCTACGAATTTTTATACTTAAGATTATCATAGCGCATCCATTTTTCATTACCAGGATACAATGCAAAAATCTTTTTCTTTTCTGCCGTTGAAGCAGCTGCTCATACTTGCAAAACCGCCGTTCGATGTTTCTTAGATTCAATTCGTAGGGCATCCGATGTCCTTGCTTTTCTGTCATTCTTAATGCTTGCAAACGTTTCTAAACTGTTGTACAATCAACTCCTAATGGTTCCGCAATTTCAGTTAGCGTCTGACGTGAGTCTTTATGAAGTATCGCCTTCAATACTTCATCTTCAAACTGTTTTGGTGCGCCAGAACATTCTTTAACTTCAACATCAAAATCGTTATTTTTGAAGCACCTAAATCAATCTCTGCACGCCGTTTGTGACAGAGCATGGTCGCAACAAGTCTCGACAAGAATTCTGTGTGCTTCTGCGGCAGATTTCTTTCAGAATAAAGTAGCGCAGTGAAATTCCCCGCAAATACTCTTTTCGGCACGAAATTCAACATGTATTTTACACGTCGGCGAAATAATTTACACTGAATTTCACACTTGCTTATACAGAGCCTTCGTATTGGTAAAAAAAATTCCCTAAATCTTAACGTCGCCAATATTAATGACTCGTTTACAATGAACAATGACAAACCGTTACCTCTACGCTCGAGATAATGCGATCGCTGATTTTGGTGTAATTTTTCACGAGATCTTTATTCTATTCTGTTCATTGAAAACGAATCATGAATATTTTTGGTGCCAAGATCTAGGGAATTTTCGTTACCAGTAGTACCAATCGTACACTGTTGGGTTGCCTAAGTTTAGCGGTCACGTCGCTTGTAAATTTTTATGAAGGCTATGCAGTACCTCTTTATGGGTGCGTTACCATTTTAAATTACAAGCTTGAAGCTTTCTGGTAACGCCATCTGTTGGAAAACATCGAGAACTTATTCGACGTTCCTATATAATTTGATTACAATTTCTAGACGCGTATCATGCTTGAGTCAGTCTATACTTCTACTTAGCAACCCTGTATTATTTTCCTTTCATCCTCCCTTTTGAAATATATGCACAAACTGTGTGTGGCAGGCTATACATTTTAGCACTTTAATAATATCTAGCTCATGCTTTCAACTATCGATTTTAAAAGAATTTGTGGGTGTGACACTCACTTGTTAGAAATAAAAAAAAATTCTCGCACAAATGCTACAATTGAAAAATTCTTTGGACTTTTCTTAAGAGGGCTCTACAGCAAATAAGCAACCAACAGTACATTTTTATAGATTTTATTACTTAGTTTGTCTAAATACGAATTAATGCACAAATAATAGACTTTCCTCCATTCTAACGCAGATTTTCTATAAAGTGGACTTAGTTTGAAAGTCTAATCACTTGTTAGTGTAAAGATATTTGTAATTTACGATTCAAATTACAAATTTCTTTACGATGGACAGTAATTTGATATTCAAACGAAGTCCATTTTATAGAAAGTTTGTGTTAGAATAGAGGAAAGTCTGCTATTTGTGCATTAATTCATATTTAGGCAAACTGTTTATTAAAATCTATAAAAATGTATTGCTGGTTGCCTATTTGCTGTAGAGCCCTCTTTAAAGTATTGTAAAATTGTAACTTATTTCCTTAAATGTGTGTGATTTTATGCTTTATGTTGGAATAATTAGCTGTGGTTATTGTTTTTCAAATCGTTTCCTTAACATGTTTTGGGTATTTTTTCAGGAAATAGAGAAAAGAGTGGTGCAAAAGCTGGGAGTACCAAGGACTGAATCTAGTTGTTAACAAGAAAAGTAGAGAAAACTTATCCAAATTTTGCAAATTTAAACCCCTTCAATATTTATAAACGCTGCAGGCCAGCGAACGTCCATTTTCCTCGACTTACTTTATCGATAATTTATATTTTTTCGAAAGTACATATTTGTATAATTCTATTGTGTACATATTGTTGTCATAGTCATATAGTTTATATTATAATTCTATTGTAAATATTTAAGTAATAAATTCTTTTTATAATGAAAACGACCGTGTCGCTGCTGTTTTATTACACAACGATATAAAAGACGAAAAAATAACGCCAAAATATCTGCATAAAAAAATTAATATTTTGTTGTATTCAGCAATAATTAATTATCGCCTGTAAAAATACTGCATTTTAAATAGTTTAACGTTGCAGACTTTATCTATTATTTATTTATGGCGAAGTTTTAGTTTTTCTCCGTTTCTGTAGATATGCGGGGCGCACAGTGGGAGATATTGGAAAAAATTCTCGCCACTCGCCAATTTTCATCTCGTAATTTTTTTTTAATAATCTCGTAATCTGAATTTTCATATTCCGGTGAGGTTTTTTCGAAAAACCCTTTTTTTTAATGCTTAGGGAGCGCCCCAACCTCAAATGTCGAAGAAAAAATTTTTTAAATACTCGATGTTCAGTTGTAGAAAAAATTGTTTTCCAATATTTCCCACTGTGGGGCGCCCCAAAAAAAACGAGGAAATTTGCCGTGCACTCCTCTCTTATAGTTTGAGCTTCACTCGCTAGATAGGTGTTACGTAACGTAACCCCTCCTGAGTCAATCTGCCAAGTGGCATCACTTGAAACGGTTGTACGAACCCATGAGACAGTTTTTGGGTGACGACTATTTCGACCTCCTCCATTTTATATACAGGGTGTTTCAAAACATCCGCCGGAAAATGAGGGGTGTGATGCTTTGGCTCATTCTAAGAAAAAAGATTGTTAACGTGGGTCCGCAATTGCACCGTGTTCGAGATATAGGATGTTAAGGGGTCTTTATATCAAATAGGCAACCAGCAATACATTTTTATAGATTTTATTACACAATTTCTCTAATTATGAATTAATGCACAAATATGAGGCTTTTTTCCATTCTAACACAGATTTTCTATAAAATGGTGTTAGTTTCAAACTCAAATTACTTTTTGGTGTAAAGAAATTTGTATATTGCTTGTTCAAAAGTGGCAAATTATACATTTCTTTACCAATAAGTCCATTTTATAGAAAATCTGTGTTAAAATGGAGGAAAGTCTGTTATTTGTGCATTAATAATTCATATTTAGACAAACTGTAATAAAATCTATAATGTATTGCTGGTTGCCTGTTTGCTATAGTCCTTCCAAAGAAATTTTTTTTTTCAATTTTTTGACAATATCTCAGGAACCATTTGACATCCAAAACTCACATTTAGTATATATACGTATTATCATTAATGTTGGCTATTTTTGGAAAACTCAAAAGAGGGGTTTTCAATTTTCATACCTCGCTTTAATATGGAACTTCATTGCAATCATGGTTGCCGATCGTTTTACAGCTATAATAATTGTAATTTTACTTTCAGTATTTGTGAACTAATCTAATCATTAAGTTTTAAAATTTTCTTTACAATAAATAAAACCAAAACGCAATATTTTTGCCATTGAATGAAATTCATTGGTAGAGGTGTTTTAAAATCTTATGAGCTTTGACCTTCATATGCGCAGAAACATAATTCCGACCGTCGCCTAAATTATTCTACCTTCTAAAAACATTACACCTATTATTCACAGTCTGTCTCGGGTTCTCGTAGCGTAAACAAGCCTTTGATCCGATTACAAATATAATAAAATGCCCCATTCTTTATAATTTTAATTTAAGCAATAGAAATATATATATATATAAAACGAACGTTCGCCAGTTGACTTTATTGATGCCCGAGCGCCTTAGTTCATTTCTACTTGTAATGATGCACATGGTCTAGTTCTGAGTGAATGTTTTCACAACGTGCTTATTTTAGAAGAATTGTGCGGATACGCCACGCCTTTCGCGCATTTCGCGGCTCATGAAATATTGAAACACCTCTAAACGTTTTTTCTTGTCAATATGACCTAATCTGATGAGACTGATTAGATTTAAAATAATTAATAAGAAAATATTTCATTTAGTATTAAAAATATAGAAAGTTTTTACAAAATTTCTTGAACGGATATAGGCATTTATTAGTTCAAAAGATACGAAAAACTACCAGTTCAATAACTTTAAACAGAAGAACCACGTGCGAATTTTAAGAAATATTCGAGTTCCACATTTTTATGTACGATATTCCAATTTTACAACTGGTAAATCCACCAATTTAAGTGCTAATTTATAAGCTTATGCATATTTATACGTCCAGAATGGTAAAAAAATGATGAAATGATTAGAGATTCTGATAATCAGATACATGATGGTCATCCACTTAAAGTGGATGGGTACATTTCTATGTTATATTTTCTGAGGCAAATTAAATACCTACCATTGTGTGAATTTATTGATTTGGGACACACATATATAGTAATACAAAATAATTTATTTAATATAAATAAAAAAATAAATGAAATTTAAGGATTATTAAAAATTCATATGAATCATTCTAATCAACCTTCAAGTTATAAGGAGTTCCTCAAAGGACAGTCCTTGGACTTCTTCCATTTATTATTTTTTTAAACGTACAATATACGTTGACGACGGGAAAATATTTTGACACATTAACTTTCTCTGTTTCCTCACTTAATAGTTGATTAGACACAAATGAGTTAACTCTTAATATTATCAATTGTAACGTCACCGTCACCGCAAAAAATAACTATAACATTTAATTATGTTAAAAGATTTAGACATCATCTTTATTGCATATAAGAATTTGAGATTTGTTTCGCGAGTTTAAGAATCAATCTACATTTGTAAGATATATAAACTAGAATACGGTTCGGTTAACACATACCTATACTTCTCTGTTCCAGATACATCAGCAAAAATTTTTTAAATCTGTCGCGTTTTTGCTTTATGGAGTTTATCCCACTCGCTGTACTCCACAGGAATTGTTATAAAACCGCTTCAACCTGCAAAGTCTTTCTAATGGACGTATTATGAACAATATTATATTCTTGCATAAAATCATCATTGTGGCGTTAATAGTGAATTTATTACTAGAAACATTTCAATACATAGTTGTCAGTTTAATCGCCAGAAATAGTACTTTGTTTATGTTACCTTTTGCAAGTACCAATATGCTATTAAAATCGCCCTTACATCAAATATAACTGTAATATTATTTCGACATTATTTCATGCAATGTGTTTGAAATTATATATATATTATATATTATATATAATTATTTTCAGATATAAATTTTTGTTTTTCTTTCATTATTTTATATTATTATTTTAATATTTTGAAGTTGACGTTTATCATATTTTGCAATTTAATGCTCTTTTGCACGTATTTATTTGGAATGTTTTTATATTGTATTTTGCAGCACTTTTACAATAATCGTTTATATACTACTTATTCTTTATGTGGGTTCTACGCCCGTTTGTTTTTTTAGGAGCAAATAAATAAATTAATAAAAAGTTAAGAAAATCGTCTACGCCACTGCGCCCAGATCCCATACCTGCATTAATCTACCTGGCCGGTCGACCCGCCGGCCACGTCTTTATCTTAGTCAGTCGCAGACTCCGCCGTCGAACAATCACCCGCCCGTCAGTGTCCGATGAGCGCGTGAACGAACCGCGAGTACCGCGTCCTTCGCGGGTGTAAACAACCGCCATGACGTCACCCCTGCAGTCCTCCACCCTCGACGGTCTCCCCAAGCAGTTCGTCACCGCCATGCGCACCCTCTTCGACATCATGGACGACAAAAGGACTGGCTTCGTCAATTTCACCGACATAGAAAACAGATGGCAAGACGACGACACGAAAGGGTTACCCAAAGGGGTCATAGAGAGTCTTAGAAAAGTCACCCCTCCCAACGGGATGCTGTCCTTCGAGAGATTCTGCGCTGGTCTCAAGATATGCCTTTTAAGGAACCAGGTAGAGCGACGGGACAACCTGAAGCAACACCAGGAGGTGGGTGTGAAGCCCAGCAGGCCACCCTCTGCGCCCCTCCTGGACATCGACAGCCCCCCCAAGCAGAATTGGACGAACACGGCGGCCATAAGGCCCAACAACGTAATATCCCAGCAACGCACGCTTTCCATGCCCCAGCTTCTGCCCGATCGAAAAGATACGAACGTAGAAACCGTTGACATACACGCCTTTGAAAAACCTGTTCCCAACGTAAACAAACCCACGCTGTTCGGGCCCCCCAAGCCCCCCCGCGCGGCCATTGGCATGGAACGGGGGGTGTCCACGGGCAACATGGACAGGGCCGAGATACGGACGGCCCTTCAGAATTGGCAGATGGGGCTGATGATGAACGATCAGGAGAACAAGAACAGCGAGAAGAGGCAAGGCCAGCAGCAATTCGCTGGGGGATTGCTGAGGTCGGGGAGAAGCCTGGGGGATGGAAAGGCTTCCGGCCAGGGCGATATCCAGGTGGGCATGTATCAGAAGAAGCCGAATTCTAGGAGGAGGGAACCCAGGAGGCACACCCTTCAGAACGGGATCGATTACAATATGCTGAAGAGGATGAAGCAGATCGAACAGGAGAAGGAGGTGTTGATGCAAGGGTTGAGTGCGGTGGAGAAGGCTAGGGATTGGTATTTGAAACAGGTGGCAGCGGTGCAGGAGAAGATGAAGTATCTGGGTAGAATGGGGCATGTGGTAAGTTCTATCTACTTAATATAACTTAAAAAAAAAATAGTTTAGAAAACCTTCTTGCGATACCACAGCAATAAATAATGTATTTGGTTGCCTGACAACTGCTCATAATCCCATTTACATCTCACTTTTCACCATATCCCATTTATTATTAGAGATAGGGATACTTTCAAATAGAGAAAAATGCATAAAGCGTCGCTTAAAACAAGAAAAAAAACTGTTCTTTATCTCTGAAACCTAACATTCAACTTTTCTGCTGCTTTGTTTTATAATATCCTCATCCTGCCCCAGACAAAGGACACATATTCCAAGTTTTTTTTTATAATGCGCGCGCTGTGAGCCATTTAAGTCATGCAAATTATTAGATGTTTCCTTGTTTACTTCATTTTTCAGAAGAAAAAATTCAGGGGGTCATTAGGATTTCTTGGAGGATCATAAGTTACCATTAAATAAGATCCTAGTTGACTACCGTCTAGCAATGTTTAAATGTATACACAAGAAATTAAATTTCCAATACTTAACCTGTTATTTATTCATACTTTACACATGAATATGTTGCCGTTGCTTTTTCTAGCGATTTCATTGCGTTGAAGGCCTCCTAAAACAGTAACCTTACGGAAAATCCGGTACTGCTCATAATGATTAAAGGAGTGTTTAGTATTCAGGACAGCGTCTTTTATATCTAACATATTACGACATGCTATAAAATATTATCGTAGAAAATCGCAGTGCAGTTAAAGTCATTCTAGACCGATGACATTGGATTATGCATATCACGCAAAATCGACCGTTTTAAGTTCCCATTTCTGCTGAATTCAATTCAGTTATGATCAATCGTAAATCAAACAGATTCATGAAAATATTTGAATTAGAAATTTGAAATGAGAGAAAAGGGACAAATTCCTAACCAAGAAAATAAATAATGGAAATTGCATTAAAATAAAATAATATAGTCCAAAGCGTAGAATCGCTGCAACGAAAAAAATGAGTCATATGAAAATGTAGCTCGGTCAAATTGGCTTAAATTGTGGTAAGTTGTTCGTTTTGTATTACTGACCAAAAGTCTCAACAGTTCTTGGGTCGGAAAATCAATTCTTCCCTACTTATAGCGGTCTGAATCAATTCTGTTGAGGATGGTTACAAAGTAGTATGAGTGGAATATTGCAACAAAAACAGTACCTAACTTTTAAAAATTAATCGGATGACAGAATGTAGCTAATTAACATTTTTGTCATGTGCCAAATACTAATCTGGCCGCATAATCAATATTTTAATATGAGATTGTTTATTTTGTCTCTCTTTCTCCTCTTTCCCCATTATTTGAGTAAAGTTATAAATAAAATTTGATTAAATAATCATTTTTTTTACATATCATTTACACATCAGTACGTAACAGAAAGTGATTTATACATGAAATAGGTAAATGAGAGCATTGCACATCATGATTTAATTAAAAGATGAAGCGTATTATTCGTTCCAAAGCTGATTTTAAAAGTGAAATCAATCTATGATGATGTAAATAGTGAACGGAAAAAACAAACGTGTATAACATAATTCCCATCTTAGCTACTACGATCAGATTTTGTTTAGCAAACACCTGTCCACGATGATCAACAGGTGTCTGCAATGCCCCTTATATCTGTATTGCGTAATTTTCTTAATGGCACATTACTAGCATTTTAATTTATTATATTCACATTTTAAACGTATACATAGGTACATTCTAGCAACCTTATGTAGGTACTTATTTTTCGTAATTATACTGACATAGAGATTTCTAAAATCTATTTCCAGTGACTTTTTGTTCAGTTTCGAATTTTGAAAAATATGTTGTTTCATTAATTTGTGGTAGGTAATATATACAGGATGTATGATTGGCCAAACTATAATGTAAATACGAAAAATTGCCATAGGTACATGTATCTCGAAACGCTACGTTTTACAAAGTGTAATTTTCGCGTGATCGCCCTGTACATACGTTTATGGACAATCGAAAACTAAAACTGCCTACCAAATCCGAATAAAAGCAGTACTTTTCTTGTAATTAATTCAAACACACGATTGCGTCGCAAAAACCACAATTAGTTTGGCCAAGTATTTTAATTACACCCTGTGTGTGATGCAATTTTAATATCATGTATCATACACCACAATCATTGACACCAAAAAAGAATCTAGGTGTTGTTTGAGTTGAATAATACTCGTGTAATGTAATGTTTTTATCACTTTCTTTGGTACTACTTTTACTATGACAAGCTGTGAAACATGTAAACTTTTAGGCTAGTTCTTGTTTTATACGAGGTGCAAACTTTTTTGGCTCTATTTAGGTAACTGAAACTGGGCAATTGGAAGTAGAAGTGAAATTTCTAGCAAGAAACGCTTATGCAAATACGTAATAAATTCATATTTCTTGTAAGATAACCCACCTGCGGTACAGAGTGAACTGTCATACCACTAACCTACTTAAACTCGTTATGAAAGAAACTTTTCTCATGGAGTTTCTCATTCTCGTGTACCTACTAACTGGTACTATTGTCCGCGAAAGACCTCTTGGTTTTCTTATAACTAGTTTTATGACTGTTGCTACTACTGCAGTATACTTATGTTAATATTTATTGCATATAAAACTTCACACTGCAATTATACAGGTACTTACCGCATTCCGAGATAAAATTTACCCACGGTACTATTCAAATCTGTTTGTGGTATTCACTCATTATGTCTTCATTTGAGAAAGAGAATTTCTGTTCTATAAACACTTTTTTTTATGATTAAAAAAACAATCTCGAAAGTTTATAGATAAATTACCAGAAAATTATATTTTGCAATTTTAAATCTTAGGTTTAAATTGTTCATAGTTTTTCTTTAATTTGCTGCAGTAATTTATAACTATACTATCTATTTCAAACCTTATAGGAATGCGTTTGTCCATAAATTTCGAAAAGCACCGGCCTGTTTCGCACCGACGTTATCATCAGTAAATCAATGAATCCGATAAAAACTATTCCTATTGTCTAAGAGCTCCCCTGCATTCCTTTTACTCTTCATGGTGGATTTTTTACGGTTTAGCGAGTCTCTCTAATTAAAGGAAACCGCTGGTACATATCGCATTACAGTTTAAATTTTCCATGTGGTTGAACAAAATTAAGTAGCCGTTATGTGTACTTCCTAAGGGGGATAGATAGGAGGCGGTTGTCTGCGATTTGTGTAGATGTGAAAGGGGAAGAACAGCTTGGAAAATTCTGTAACCTAAACTTTTTTGTTAGTCGCATATGTTCGATTTTGAGAAGGACAAGTTGCTTAATTTTTAGTACAACACTATACATATATTTGTTTGGCAGGGACACTAGAAATTGAAAATTTTATTTCATTTTCAATATAGTGTGCTACACTGGTGTAAAAGCAGTATGCGAAGTCGTTAGCAAAATATCGACTTCTATAGGAATTCTGGTTAAACGTTAAATAGCATAAGAACTAATGTAGATAACTAATAGAAGTCAAAAACAACCTGGAAAAGGTACTGGACCTCAATGTGATTTGAAAGTTACTTTTACATTTTCTATATTTCAGTTTGTATGGCATCTGCCTGAATTAAATCAAGAAGCCGTAATCGTGAAGTGAATGTAACACTATTACGAAGATTAAGAAATTCAAAGATGTGACGTAATAAAAGAGACTTGGGTAAATTGTACAAATACCGACAAAAGTATAAATCTAAAAATGAATGCGTTCGCTCAACTTTGCATTTTAAAAAAGTAGCCTCTAATTTCACATCAATGTTCAAATAGTAATATCAAAAAATCAGCGTTGTATTTTAATAATACTAAAACTAAGCCAAAGCGGTATGTACCGTACCTAATATTAATTATTTTTTAAACAAAACAATTCTACTCTAATAAATATTGGCCTATTTTGAATAATAAGTTATTTTGTTTATTATAATTGTTAGATTTTATATTTACATTATTTACCAAAATTGAAGCTGTGTTGTCATAACTGAAACTAAATTTAGTATTTAATATTTAACTATGATCTCGTTTAAAAATTTTGGGACGTGATTCCTCAACCAAAAGCTGGATAGCTTTATCCTCAAAATATATGCTGAGATTTACAAAGTATAGGTACTTAACACATTTTCTTAAAAATATTTATTTTTCTAAGTACTTGAATAAAATAAATACAGCAAATAAACGATGTATTTATACGGATTTTTACACCGAATTCGACTCAGAGATCTTTTCCAGCTCAATGAAAAATATGTCCCCTTTTTTTGGTTCGTCAATAAATGAATCATCAAAACTGTTGAGGCTTCATACCATATACTGCAATTTATAAATATTTTTAGCATTCTTTTGTTAACATTTTGATGACACTGCTGTGTTCCAATTTCACAAAACTCATTTTTATGCAAATATTCAATTTGTCACAAATGTTTCCAACAAAGGTAGGTATTTTTTCTAAAACCCCTCGTATATCAATATTGTCTTTTCCTTATTAACATATTGTTTTTCCGGTTTCCAAAATTTTTAATATAAGCATTTTCGCTTATTTTGGCAAATCTTGAAACAATATTATTAATCTCGTTCGAATATGCATTCTTTTTCTTTATTAATTAAATAACTAGCACGTATGCAAATTATTATTTCCAGAAAAGGAAGCAATTTTTATGCAGACATGTAAGCTTTGCTTGTTGACCTCGTTTTTTAAATTGGTTTGAAAACAATACTAACCGTAATGAAACACTCACAGCGTTAAAAAATGTTGTCAATTTTAATTATGTACTAATTTAATATAATAAGTGTTTAAATTTTTCATGTAGCACGTTTATATTTTTGCCTGTAAGTTACATTTTTATGTCTACTAGGTATTGCACACTCGTCAATATAATGACGTTATTTTATTGAAAAGAAACTTTCTCTTAGTTTGTTTTTTAGTGAAAGTAAAAAAAGTACTTTGTACTTTAACTCAATTAATTGAGAATGAACCGACAGAAATATGTACTAACCAACAGGTAACTGTATAAAACTATTGTTTGTCATGAAAAATATTGCTACGTTTTCAATTATGTACAGGGTGACCCAAAACTTATATTGATCGTCATTACAGAAAAACGGAAAGATTAAATAGGAAACCACAAAAGTGATGTTAAAGGCAAGATGTTATAAGTGCTTATCATAAAAGCTGGTATCCAGTAATAGCACATTTGTTATAGATTGTCCCACTAAACATTTTTCAGTTTCTGACATGTTCCAGAAACGTTTCCATTTTTCTTGAAACGTTTCATAAAAAATCCATGCAACGTTCTGGTAACCCAAAAGAAACCGAAGATGTCCTCCCCAAAATACGTTTCCAATGAAACGTTTCAAAAAATTGGTTTCAGTAACATTCTTTTGATGTTCCATTTATGCACTCGATATTTTTGTTTTACGTTTCAGTATATTTTCAGAAATGTTTGAGTAACATAATAATTTTTATACCATATTGTTCTCATAATGCTCTCAACTTTAGATAATTTCCATTTCAGAAGCGTTTTTGAAACAGTATAAACAGTGTGAGTAATTTTTTAAATATTTCTAATACTCTTTTGTAATATTTTTATTTGTATTGTGAATGACTTAATTCGTAATCCAGACAATTTTTTCTGATTTCTCAAAAAATTTAACTGAAAAATGTTATTGTATATTAAAAAAAATAACTGCTCTTCTAGTTTGGGGATGCAGCAACTTTTATCAAGAATTTTTTTCTTTTTGAGAAGCCACTGAAAAAGTTTCTAATATGGATTACGGATTCTGCCATTCATCGTACAAATAAAAATGTCACAAAACAATATCAGAAGCATTTTAAAAAAGCTACACATCATTTTATATTGTTCAAATACGCTTCTGAAATGGAAATTTTCTAATGTTGAGACCATCATGAATATGGTAACAATGACGAAATGATAATTAAAAAAATTAGTTATGATAATGAATCTTGAAATGGTAGGTACATGAAAAACAAATAACATTACTGAAAAATAATATAAAGAAGTTACAATTTCTTCTACGCATAGTCAATATTACATCTAACCTTTTTATAATAAATTTTACAGTAGAAATAAATAAGATACAAAAGGATATCTTGAAAAAATAAATATTTGTAGGTATACTTAAACTCTTTTATTTAAGCATTCCTATACACGTACACAAATATAAACATTTGTACAAAATATAAAATAAATGACATATATTTCACTTGATTCTTCCGTATTTCAAATAGTTCTCCGAAACGTATAGTTCCATGTTCCATTTTTTTTAGTTTTTGTCCTCTTGTCTTTAATAGGTATTAGGTAGTGGGTATAATAACTATGTTTAGGTAGATGTGACGCAAAATTCGAAGTCTCTACACATATCGTTTTAAACATTTTGCATCAATATTCATTATTTTATATGCACCTTACAATAACCACAACTGCACACACTATAAATTATCAAATAAAATAGCATCAAATTAACGATCATGGAGACTATTCTTCCTGGTAACGATGAAGAACAACGAAGCCAGGCAAACGGGTAAAGGCAAACCCCAAACCTAACCTAACACCTAACATAATACGAATTGAAAACGGCACACGAGAAATAAATAAATTCGGGCTGTTACGCGCGGTCTGCGCAAGTCACGAACATACATTTTTTCTAGACTTGTGTTATAAATGTGCTACCACAATTTTTTTTCTGTTTATGTCTGGTTGTACATATAACAAAGGCAAATGAACTAACGCTTGCTATAATGATGGGGCTTGAGAGCAAAATTTAAGTAATGCCGAATGGAAGTTCCATAAGATAAACAAAAGCAAAGGGTTGTTTGTTTGTCGTTGTTAGTGTTGTTACGTTTCCGAGATCGAAAGGGAATGTTTCGAGTAATGTTTCAAACTCTCTTCAATTGGAATGTTGCGGCTATGTTTCACTAAGTAAGTTTTCAAGTGCTACATTTCTGTAATGAAACAGCAACGTTTCTAGTTATTGTTTCAAATGTGTAATAAAACAGCTCATTTGCAACGTTTCATTTACGTTTCGTGTTTAGTGGGGTAATACACATTTAGAATATGTTTTAAAAATTTGTTTAATACCTATAATTTCAAATTGATATAAGACGATTTTTAAGATATTAATAAGTCATTTTCATAGAAATATTGGGAGGATATTTGATAATAATTTAATCTCAATTAGTTTAATATGTTAAAAATATCCTAAAATAGGGTGGTGAGGTTTTCTTTACATACAGATTGTAATATTACATTTGAAAAGCTATTTCACAAATAAAAGAATTAATCCACTATCGAATATTCTAGGAGCATTGGTCTGAGGCTCAGCAAGAGAGGCTGGAGTTGCAAAGAGCCAGAGTTCTGGAAGTGAACAGGCATCTCGCTGCCCTCACAGAGAGTTGGGAACGAGGAGGATTACCGCTCCACATGAATTTAGCCGTACATCACTACCCCCAAACACATCAGCCACACGATCTAAGCGACCGGTTGAAACAACAAAATCGACTTCTGACGGAGGTAATCATATAATTTATTTATAAATGTATATAAAACGAAACCTGATTTAACCATTTTTATTTTGAACATCTATAATTAAAAAAATCACTCAAGTTTGGGATTTTTTTAATATCCTTTAATTTCTGTGCCTAGTGTATTATTCGTCTCCACCACAAGACAGGTTGACAAATGAAGGCGTCATCTAGTGGTGTATTAGATTAGCATAACAAACATTTAAATTGAAAACACAGATGGCGCTTACATAAATTTATTAAAAATTATGGGTGCTTATTCCCCAATTTATCTCAAATTAGTTACTAATGTGGTTTAATTTCAAACTTTTTTCTTATGGAAGCTGTATTAGTTTTTTAAATGGGCAAATGGTATGGTTAACTGAACGAAAAAATTCAGTTTCAACAATATGCCACATTTTTATGAAATTTCATGTTTAACAACCACGAGATTTTTATTACAGTTAATAGATCATATACAATCAACCCTAATTTGATAATCATCACATTAGTTTCTCTCATGGTTAAAATAACATATTGCATTTGCAATTTTCTTCCGTCATTTAATAAACTGGAATCTGGGGATTGAAATATGTGATGGATATGGTCTAAAATGCATTCTAATATCATGTTTTTCTAAAAATATATTTTTAACTATTTTGCAGGAGGTGAGTAAGAAAAGTGAACGAATATCTGCCCTGGAAAGAGAAAAGGCTAGCCTTATCCAAGTTCTTCAAATGAGATCTGCACCTTCCAATGGTCGGAACGGACAAGAAGAAGCAGTATTTTAACATAGATTAAAAATAGGTTTCAAATTAAATTGCAGTTAAGTCAGTGCAACAAATGTGATTTTTTTGTGAGAAAAGTAAAGAAATATATCTCTATTAAAATAATTACAAGTATATGATTGTGTTACCTTCAGGAGTAATATATGTACGGGTGTGTCGGTTAATTCCCACTGGCTTTCTAGGAACTAAAAAACAACGATTTAAAATATGAGTATTTAGTTTCAGCCAATGAAAATGTTAAGTGGCGCAACCCGTGTAGATAGGTAAACCTCCCAGTGTAATGTTTAGAAGCCAATTTTTACTAAAATGTTGATTCATGTATTACAATTTTTAGATTTATAGCAATATTTTTCTGTTAATAAATTTAAAGTGACTATAAGTACAATATTTACTAAATTTAAACTGTATTTATAATAATTTTTTCCTAGGTTGTTAAGTCCTATTGTGTATTAACGATACAATTTACTGATAAAATAAATCATTTGTACTAATATTTATTCTAGAAAAAACTTGCCATATTCAAATTAATATGGATAAATATAGAGTACACCATACCTCTCTTTTATCTTAAGTCTTTAGTTATTTTTTCATTTTTAAGTAACAGTTATAGATTGTATAACTGTTGAATCATTAAGAAATTATATATATTTTTTAAACAATATGTCTATATTTCATACATATTCCAAGGTGAAAAATAAAATCAAACAAAAACGTTCACTGTACAACACCTTTATTATTTACGGACTAATGTCCTTTGTTAGCAAAAGTTGCTCTTAGATATAAAAAGTTTATTCAAACCATTTAAATATTAGATTTGTGCAATATGGACTATTTCCACTTTAAGATACCGATACCATACAAATTTAATACATTTGTGAGAAATTCTCCTTAGCATCAACAACACATATTTTGCGCAACTGTTTAACAGTTACATATAGTATAAGTTCTAACAAAAACATCAACAATTAGATTTAGACACTTATGTGCGTAACTAAAGTGCATGCTGGGTTCCGTAAGGATCCATATCGTTACTCCACAACTCATTTTGTGAGACCCATACAAAAACCATTTCAACAATACAAATATTAGCTAAGGCCCACATTTCATTTGCAACAAAATGAGGTGGTAGTGAGTTTATTGTTAATAATACATATAACAGTAAAATTATTTTAAAATTGTTTAGTGACAAATAAATAACTTCATACAATTTCTTGCTGACCCTTCTGATTTTGCACACAAATGTCAAATTGCATCAATAACATAGACACATTAATGGGTAATTTATTTTATCTTTCCTGATACAAAGTTATCCCAGTTAATTCCATCACAAGGCAGTTTGCTTTCGATCCAAGGCGATAACCAAACCAAATACCATTTTTCACCCAACACAACTTGTATATTCAAATTTTGTCCATTATCATATTTACTCTTTTTACCTCTCTCGTGAGTTACAAGCCCTTTCAGCATTAAGTCAGTATGAAACCATAAAAGACCACCTGTAAAGGCCCCTCCCAGTACAACTATTATAACAAAAAATATATATAATTGACTTTGAGTCCATTCTAGGAATAAAGTAGCTAAAGGAAGTATAAGTTTAAATACCGAAGTCCACGACCCGAACGATAAATAGTCCCAAACGAAAGAAATATTATAGTATGAGGCATACACTGTCGCTGCAAACATGTAAAACACAAACACTAAAAAGAAGCGATGATTTTCATGTCCGATACAACAACTCGTGAACATACAATGATGGTCTCTCTTCAAAATACATACATTACATGTGTTGCAATGCCAAGACCTAGGTGGTGCTACTGTTTCACATACGGTGCAAAACCTCCAATTGGGTAAAAGTTCCGAGCTTAAAACTCTTCCTTTTATGCTTGTATCACACATAATAATCGCTACAAGATTTCCACACAAATTGTATAAAATAAAAGTGCCCATGAGGAAGTGGAAATTGTATACTAAACTCCATTGTTTGTAATACCTTGGCATGACCACGAACAGTTCAAAATAATAAATCAGCGGAATTATAACTAACACGAACCCAGTAACAATGGCATCTTTAAAACATTTTGGCCATATATCCCGCCGTATTATCATTTTTACACAATCACTAACGTAAAGACATTAAAGTTACAATATTTTTTTAGGTTATATTTACATATCATATGATTAAAAATGTTAAAATGACATCTAACCTTAAGTTCGCAAAACTTCGATTGTGTGGAGCGCATAGACCACCTGGAGCGTTAAGCAACGTTCAGAGAACTTCCACTATGGTGCGCTACACTTGATTTACCAATCATGGACCTATAGTCTGCTCGATTTTTTACCACAATTTTCTGTCGTGCCGTACTAGAAAAATATAAATGTATTTATTAATTAAATGATCATAGTGTGTTAAAAATTTCTACCTAGTTTTTATACAATTTTTTTTCACATTGCCAGTGTTCGACGCCACTGTCCTTATCATAATTCTCTGTTGTGTGCCTATCTTAACTGCCGATAATATAGATTTCCTTATAATCCGACTTGTGCTTTATTGACAGTCATCTTTTTCTAACCTATTTTCAGCTCGTTTTGCTGTCTATTTTTTCATTTCTGTCAGTTCGGTATACAGTTACGGTGGTGTGTGTTGTGTATTTGTGTTGTGTTTTCAATATGTGTAATTGTAGTAATTGTACCGTAAAAATTACCACAAATTTGTGTTGAGTGCACTATTGTCATGGAATAATAATAAGATCCATGTATTATTGTGATGGGTTCCAGGATAAGGTGAGATCCTTTGATAATATTTATTATTTAACTGCAATTAACTTGGCCTAGGGGCGAAAAGTTCGTATTCCCAATTGATCTGTTATTAAAAGTACCGTGAAAAATTCATCACTACATTTTTCCAGGGAAAATGTCAAACATTTCTTTGAATGTTTTTGTGAAGTTGTGCCCCCAACGAATGATAAAGAGCCATGGATAATTCAACAGTATCCTGAGAAATATAAAGATGAGGAAGTTTTAAAATCTGTACCCAAATTTGCATATCCTTATAAATTTGAAAAGTATGTATATCCACAAGTTCCTCTTCATTATTAAAACTAACGAAATATATATTTTTAGTGATGTTATTCAGCACTACTCTTTTGTGCTTACGGATTTAGAATCTAAGTGGACTTTTGGCTTTTGTAGACATGATCCTAAATCAGAAACAGCAATTGTTGTTTTAAGTTACCTACCATGGCATCAAGGATTTTACAAGTATGTTGCAAATTTAGATAGAATTTAGGTGTATTGATATTGATAAGAGTAACATAATCAGTCACTGGTTTTGGCATTTGTTATATCACCGATAATTAGGGGGAAATTTAATGGGGAACTTTATACACTTAGAGATAAACCTTCCCAAACCTAAATTTCGATGAGTTTTATGCTATACTTATGCTAATAATAGTAATCTTGAGTCAGTGTTATAAATTTGAATTTTTTATAGATTTGGCGATAATTTTTGGCATTGTAGCATCTTAATAGATGTGGTATGACTTAATTTCAACATATGTTTTAATTTTTTGTAATATCATTAGAAAATCAGTGATATGCAAACGAATCCTCTTGTTCTTCTCGATATGTAGAAGTGTGGCCAATGTAGATAAAATATTAGATATCTCCTTAATTCAGGAAAGAGATAGAATACAGTACTCTGAATATTGTAACCTCGATTGTAACTATTTAAAAGTTATTATTTACATAGGTATTTCTGAAAAAGAAAAATTCTATTCAATCAAAAATTTTCTTTTACATATGCTTTTGAAGATATAAGATTCTAAATTTTTATAGTAGTATGGAAGAACCACATTTTTAGTAAATATTATTATCATGGCATAGGTATAACATTTTTAAGATGTGACTAATGATCAGATAATAATATTGAGTTGATATAAGATAATACTTACATTTTCTATTTGTCGCAGTAGTAGTGACGTTTCATTAATTAATCCCTCTAATTTGGTGTTTAATTAATCTCCTTATCTCTTATTTACCTATTATAAATTATTGGGCAAAATATTTTCTAGAAATTATAATCAACTAGCATAAAAAGTTAAAACTACTTCATTGTAAAGCAATAGAAGTGGAAGGCTCGGTCTTTACTTATGTGGCAAGTTTATTAGAATTTTCAAAAATAATATAAAAACTGCCTTATCAAGTACATCATAGGTCCAACATAGACCACCACTCTGTATATATATAAAGTCGTAAAAAGTAAGCAATTAAAAATAAAAATGAACGTGTCCAAGGATTTTTCTCAAGAATATTACGCAAATCTCTATCGAATTTATGCTTCACTGCTACGCGTTGTAGATAGTGGTAGTAAGTCTTGTGTCAAATCAAATCAAAGTAATTGATATTTCTGCAACTTTCATAATTAACAACGCTTATTCGCATATGTACTTATTACGGTACATCATGTGAAACCATATAGCTAATATGTCGTGATATTCATGTTAATATTGATATTGTTATTAAAAGAGAAAGTCCCAGAGAAATAATTGTACCATTTTTGTCTAAAAAGTATTGAGGTCGTTTTGCTAAATGCTCCACAATGTATTTAATATTCTGTATTGACTTTTTATAATGTCCATCTCCAGTTGACTGTAAACTTTCTCTGAAACAAACAACGCCATTATAAAAACAATTAGATAAATAATTGATTTAAAGTTGCTGAAGGACATTACTTAGAGATGCAGCGGACTCGCGCGTGAACTAAAATTCTATTGCAGGAGACGTTTATGCCGAAGTATATCGTAAAAAATTCACGTCGTCCGGAAATACAATGAGTCAAATTTAACGTCAAAATAAATTTCAGGAACATTTTTCCAAAAATACTTCTTGACAAAGAGAATTTCCCGAGAACGTTAAAAATTGTAGAAATTAAAAAAAAATGTACCTATAGCTGTTGCGATGGGTATTAATTCTTCCTTAGTTGTGCTATAATTATGGATATAATAATTATTATTGATACAACTGTTTCTAGATTTGTCATGCTTTCACCAGGAAACAAGCTCTTCCAGTACATCGTGATAAAATTCCTGACTACATCGTCAGAGAGTCCCACTGATTCCCCAATTCCCTACCACGTCTAGATTCCGATGTGGCATTTGCGGAATTCCGTCGGTTTTCAAACAGCGCGTACGAAATACTCAAGGGTCAGCCCAGATCAGCTCAGTTTCAAAAACTATTAACTAGTAATTAAACAGACACTGCCTCACAATCGAGCAAGTTTGATTTTTTAATCACCTACATTTTTTCTGTCCCCAATGCAGTCCTAAAATTTAAATACATTTTGGCGGCCACCTGACTGACTATCTCCTGCCAATGTTCCTTTATCATATTTCCATTCCATTACAATTATCCTTTGGTATACTTTATACCAACATCTAGTGTTCCCGAAATCCGAGGCAATTTCATTATGTCTAATTTAATTAATATGAGAGCTGCGATATTAAATGAACACAGATTCGAGAAACTCAGATTTGTTAATAACACATTCTTTAGACATCCATATAAAACTCGATTTTTGAATGGTTTTAGGATATTTAAAGCTTGTCATTTTGTTTTGTTGTCATAATACCTTGTAGAATATCTATTGTTTCCATGAGTACAACTTTTGATACAATTGAAACAAAAAAATCAAGCTTTGTATGAGGGTAACCATATTTTTTACACCTGTGAAAGCTACTTTTCTTATGTATTTCTTTATTAGGCTATGAATTTTATATTTCTTAATCATTTTTTATGCGTGATTTAATATGCTTACCACTTAACGTAAAAAATGTCATCATGTTATATGACAGTAGCAATTTTGAATAGAATGCAATTGTTGCAAAAAAAATAATTTAGGGAAAATTGTCTCAAATTGCGTAGTTTACTCCCGAATATTGATATGCTAGGCCTCCCTGAAAATGGAAGAGTTGATTACAATTATTCTAATGGACATGAAAAGAACTGTATTTTGATTCAAGATATTAATTTGTTTGAATTTTGACAGACTGTATTTAGCTGAAAAATTGTATCGGGAATTATAAAAAAGCATTTTGAAGCTCTAAGATTCTAATTTTTAAGAGCTATAATCTTAGAGCTTCAAAATGTTTTTTTAAATTCCCGATGCGGCCATTTTTCACCTGAATACAGTCTGTCAAAAATCACCGAAAAATTTCGGAATATTTTTTGTTAATTGTCTGCGTTTGTGTATAGAAATAAACAAATAGCATTTGCTTGTATATATTTGGAATACTGAAATATGAACACATTCTTGAGCAAGATAATAGGTGCTGAAAATGTGGACGTTATGGAAAATTGCGATGTCATTAATGCAACTTTCCCCAGAGAAAAACGTCGGAATCTATTATATTCGCCACAAATTGCGGAGTAATTTCTGTCGATGGCAGCAAATTGTTAGGCAGCAGAATCTTTAACAAAAAATGTTTCAAATGTTTCTGCGTCGAAGTATAATAATACATATAATACTCCCGAAATTAAAGTACCTGCTAAATGTAATAAATGCAGCATGGTATAGATGAATGGTTGAGGACGTGTGTGGATTTGTCCGAGTATACATATCTGTCAGACGTAAACAAATGCCGTATCGTGTGGATGGTGCATATCGATACATTCGAAATTGTCATTTGCCAAATACTCGTCAAAAGGCACGCTACGTACACAAGCGGACAATTTGATACGTTTATAATTGACAAGCAACATATTTAGCGAGTAACCGCGTGTTATTAAAAGAAAATTGTACGTGTTGTTTTCTTAATTTACCGCCAAACAAACAACCTATAAATCGTGACCTCAGCTCCATTACGTATCCAGCTTTGTTATATATCTTATTTATGTCCAGTAATTATTTCGTCTGTTTTCCAATAAAAAGTCTCTGTGTGATTAAATTAAGCAGCGATCGACCGAACGACGGGAAAATGTATTCAAAACCTATTCACCCCGTCTGCCCAGGATGTTCCTAATTACATTTAATTTGAATGGATGTTCTTGGTCGCCGTACACATATCGGTTTATCACGCCCAGATTTCTAAAAGGCCTTAAAAATTGTCTGTCCCATGTGTTGCCATTAAAATGCATACATGTGTAAAACAAATAAGCAGGAACGGTCTTCGATTTTCTGTCAGCAGGCCAATATGTATTCTATGTGGGTAGTAGCAGTAGCTCTATATTGGGAAATAACAATACAAATAAATCGGTGTGCTTTCAATACCGTTTGTTTGATAAACAAAGTACCTAATTATTTTGAAAGTTAGGTAATTATTTAAATGATGATCAGCGGCAATACGTATAAAAGCAACATACCTTCAATTAATTAAAATATTCTTGGCGACGAAATTTCAGAATGGCTATAAGATCGTCAAGATCGTCAAAAATCCTGAAAGTGATTTCGCTGAAAATCGTTTCTAAAATTGCATTATTGGACCATGATAATTAGTTCAGCAGGCACATCTACAAGACCACTATATACATACAAATTTTTATTCGAATTGTTCGTTTCAAAAAAAATTTAGATGGTTATCCGTACATACTTTGAATCCAGTGCATAAATATAATAAAAAAATGTGACAGTAATTATTATTTTTAGCGCATCTAATTATCTCGGTCGTGGCTGACTGGTGCAAATTTTAATTATTAAAATTATTACGAATAATTTCGAGGCATCAACGTAGGAGCGTGTTTAAGCCGCAACAAAAGTGGAATAAAGGTTTAACGAGTTAATTTTTTATTCATTAACTCCGTGGAATGTTAGGCATTTCGCGTAATATAATACCCTGCGGTATCCTCTACGCTCTGGTGGTTCTGTTTACATGATATTTAAATGCCCCAGTACCACTGCGTACCCTAACTTGTTTATTCTGTCATCCGATTGTAGTACGCTGTTAAAAAAATATTTACTTATACGAGATCCCTAAAATATACACACATGATTATCTTATGTATTTACAGGAATACGTACAAGATGTGTAGGGTAGATATGTACACAAAAAGAATGATGGAACCAAAAAATAATAATATTAGAATAATGAAACTCAGTGCCTCGTTCGCATATGCAAGCAGTAGCCGTTGCTAGGAATCCACATACACCATTTCTTTATAATTCAAAAGCTTCTGTTTCGTTATCCATATTATCTTAGAAAGTAGTTTCTGAAAACCCTCTATTGCATGGTAATTTCATCGTCTTATTGTGTTGATAAATTGGCAGT